AAGCGTCGACAATGTCATTTGTGTCGCGGATATGGACATACAAAGCGTAATTGCTCTCAAAGAAACTTGCATCCAAGTAGAAATGCATGTGTCAATATCCCATCAGGTAGTGAAAGCTATCAGTATAGTTCTGATAAAGGGCCGTCCCCGGACATTAGCTACAGTTATCCTAGTCAAATGGTTTCTCAATGCAGAGGCAACTATGTGGTTGATTTGTCTTGTTCTGATAGTTTTTCTACTGCAGACCCAACCGGTTCTACCCTGAACAGTGACGATGGTTTCTCATTCGACAATGGTGAACCTAATTCCCTAGGTACTGGTTCAACCCAAAACAATTGTAGTTTTGGAACTTGGTTTACATGTAACAATTAACATTAAATGTAGATTTAGTGATTGACAATGTGCTTTCATATGACTGTCGTATTATTGCTTTATGTATGTATTGTTCAGAACAAAAGTATTTGCTTGGTTATCTTTGGCGTTGCGCTAGACATTAATTAGGTTTGCGTTTTTAAGGTATGTTTAGTTTGCCCACAGCCGGTCGGCATTTGCATTCCACACGTGCAATTGCATGACCGTGATGCAATGCAAGAGCGACTGTGCGCAAACCAATAATAAGGAAAAATGGATCATAATTTTTTTTTACAGGCATAATTTGACCTTTTTTTTGAACTATAAATCGAAGGGCAAAATGAACCGAAATACAGAGCATGTAAATAAATGGTAAGGGGCAATAAGCCGAACATATTATATTACAAAACGGCCAATGATCGAAATTACGTACTAATAGACATTGCCATTTAGCAGAAATGAATTCCCAAAAGATCCCGAATTTCGTAAAACACAATGTGATTAACCCTAATTTCAATAATAGACATAGGGTCGTAACAACGTATTTATTTGGATTTCGTTGTGATTGCGCTATACATTAAATAAGTTTGCGTTTTAAAGCTATGTTTAGTTTGCGCACAGTCGGTCAGAATTTGCATTGTAAACATGCAATTGCATGAGGTTGATGCAATGCGAGAGTGACTGTGCGCAAACCCATCATAACCAATAATTGATCTTTTTTTTTCGGTACAGGCATAAGTAGACCTATTTCTTTAACTATAAATATAAGGGCGAAATCAACAGAAATACAGAGCATTCAAATAAATGCTAAGGGTTGGGCTATAAGCCGAACATATTCTATTACAAATCGACCAAACCCACAATTACAATTACTAATACACATTGTCATGTAGCACAAATTACTTTCCAAAATATCCTCAATTTCATAAACCAACATGTGATTAACCCTAATACAAAAATAATACACAGAGGGTCCTAATCAAATTCGGAACTTCCTTTTCTTTGTCTTTGCACTATCCATTAATTAGGTTAGCGTTTTGAAGCTAGCTTTAGTTTGCACACACCCGGTCAGCATTTGCATTGTAGACATGCAATTGCACCACGTTGATGCAATGCGAGAGTGACTGTGCGCAAACCCATCATAACCAAAAATTGATCTTTTTTTTTCGGTACAGGCATAAGTAGACCTATTTCTTTAACTATAAATCGAAGGCCGAAATCAACAGAAATACAGAGCATTCAAATAAATGCTAAGGGTTGGGCTATAAGCCGAACATATTCTATTACAAATCGACCAAACCCACAATTACAATTACTAATACACATTGTCATGTAGCACAAATGACTTTCCAAAATATCCTCAATTTCATAAACCAACATGTGATTAACCCTAATACAACAATAATACACAAAGGGTCCTAATCAAATTCGGAACTTCCTTTATGTTCCTCTGAACAAATACCGTGTTGGTATTAAAAAGTAAGTTTGTTGGCCTTATTTTGCGGCGAAACGTCGAATATTTCCGAACAATAGCAAACCCTTGCGTTTCATTGAATAATCTCCGCGTTTGTTTGAAAAACTTTCCTCAACGAATGCACCTGTTACATTCGTGTGAAAAACTACCTATAAAAACATATGACGATACAAGTGGATGAACTTAACCTTAACCCAACAACAAAGACGGTAAGATACTAACATATAATTGGCAGAGGGGTTCCTGGTCCTCATTTTGTCATCATACACGTAAGGGCTTCCAGGTCCTCATACTCCGGCACATATGAGTACAAGTTAGGCTCAATAATAGGCGGAGGTGGGTCCATCGGATGAGAGGGTGGCAAACTATTTTCCCTCAGAGGACATAATCGTACCATTATTTTTGGCACATAATGCACCACGGGAACCGACTTCTTCACTTCTTCAGTTGCAGAGCCTTGGGCCTTTGTTCGCATCAATAAACAAATCCCGTGTTGTCATTTTCACTTTACTGGGTACATCACCCCTAAACCCCTTCTTAACAACATAACTTTTTTTCCCATGAGTTTGGTGAAGATAGATAAGTTAGAGTGTGAATGATAATATGCTCTAAATTTGGTTGGACATGACAGGTTGTTTTATAGAAACATTTAGGGGTAAAATTGTCCATTCGGAATAAACTCCTTCAAAAATTATTTATCTCAACATTTGAAAATTACAACAAATACTTCCCTCAAATAACCTTCTTTTTTGTTGCAAAAAACATTTCCTTCAGTGTTTTTTTTTCAAAAAAAATCAAAAAGATATTTTTCCTAATTAATGGACATTCGAAATGGTAATTATTTGTACAAGTATCGCTACTTTTAAAAATTATATATAATAGTTACATACTACTTGAAACAGTTACAGATATTAAAACCCAAGCTCTAGTGTCTGTAGAACCTAAATCCAATACAATTTTAAACATAAACCATACTTTGAACCCTAAAGCCTAAACCCAATTCAATGTTAACCATAAAGGCCAACCCTAGATTTTTTGTCAGTTTTAAACAGGTACCCAGAATGGTTTGAAAAATTTGTTGAGGTTTTCATATGAAAAACATATTCTACATGTTTTTATATATATATATATATATATATATTGTCGCGAATTGAGGTTTATAAAGATGAGCACATATTTCAAATATGGAATTGTAGAATTAAAGGAAGGTTTGTGATAAGTCTTGGTACAAACTAGCTATATAATATTTCCCATGTCCATATTTAATACACATATTCGTGGTTGAAAAGGAAGACTTATAGATTTTGGTTTTTGTCAAATTTGTTAATTTATCTCGTCGGCGTGGCTGAGTAAACAGGTATCCAGAAGGGTTTGAAAAATTTGTTGAGGTTTTCATATCAAAACCATATTATACACGTTATTATATATATATTGTCGAGAACTGAGGTTTAGAAAGATGAGCACGTATTTCAAATATGGATTTTTAGAATTAAAGGAAGGTTTGTGATAAGTCTTGGTATATAATTAACAAACTAGCTAAATAATATTAATCATTCATATGTATTTTAATATTCTATATATTTATATTTTATATATTATATATATATATATAGTTAACATGTGGCTGTTTTGTATTGGGAGTCTAAAATTTTACCGTACACACACACACACAGGATCATCCACAACTAAAATAGACTTAGGTTTCTTTTCCGTTCTTTTCCTTCTTCGATTTGCTTTCCTCTCTCTCTCTCTCTCTGCGTGAAACAGAAACCTCAGCCTTGTTCTTCTTCACCCGTTGCGCCGCCGAAGCTCTCTCAGTCGTCGCTCCGTCGTCACGCAAGCAGGTTCGAATGTGGCTTTCTATTTTCTTCTTTTCTTTTTCTTTCTTTTCCCCGTTCGATTATCTGTCTGACCATCTCTGTCCTCCATCAGCAGTTCGTGCAGATCATCATCCATTTGTGTTGAACGGAGTAGGTTGCAGCTTCCAGCAGACGCACTCTTTTGTTTCTCCCCTTGACGCAGCCGCGCACTCCTTCTCCTCACTTTGCCATTGAAGACTCTGTCTCTACCGAAGGTGAATTTCTCACTCTTCTGTAAATGATTAATCTTCAATATTGTTATTTCCAATCTCTGTTTGCATTTTCATTGACTTATATTGAGCGATTTAGTATCTGAAAATTTCAATCTGTTTGCGTTTTTTGCTGGATTATTTACTCAACCCAAAACTCCTAAATTCAGATGATTGTATGATGTTGTTTTTAGCTCTAAAAAATAAGATAAGAAAATTGTTCATGGAATTAGGGACTTATATCAAACTTTGATGGCTGTTTGATTTTTATTTTTTTTCTGTTTTCTTATGGGCCCATGAAGAAACAGCATTGGAATGGAAATTCTGTGTCCAAATTAGAAACGTGTGAGGGATGAGACATGGTTCTTCTTTGTCATTTTCTGCTGCTGATTAGAACAATTAGAATGTGGAGGAGCTTTTAGATTGATGATTGAACATAAAAAACTAATCAAATTATCTGTTGTGGAGTTTACGTAATAAAAGACAGAGACACAAATTATTTGTTGTGGATATATAACTTTTATGGGGATGGGGATGAGAAGGTAGAGGTACTAATGCTATGAACCAAAATTTCTGCTCATTATTTGTTTAGGGAATTAGATCTAGTTGATTGCAGCTTTCCTTATGGCATCAATCAAAGTAGTGATTTCTGGGGAAAATAGAAGTTATGACTTATGTTATGTTTGTGTTTAGAGTTTTGGTTGGCCTTGCTTTCTTAATGTTTGCAAATCTACTATTTCATAAATAATGAAGGGAGATTGTCATAAAAAGTACACTGTGGAGACTGCATATTGATTTTCACTTTGTGAATTTTCATGTATTGTATTACATGTGGCTGTTTTGTTTGGTATGGTATTGATGCTTGTGGGTTTTGTTGGAGCAATGTGTGTGTTTATGTGTTTTTCTGTTATTTTGTCTGCATCCTTCTACTGCAATGAGTGCGGAAGCTTGTGAAATGTTTTTCAATGTATGTTAACATTATGTCATGTGACTCTATTGTTTTATTTTTGGTCAAAAGAGTTACTATATTGTTTGATGTTGAGGTAGACATAATCTGTTTCATTGTTTGCTGTTTTAAATCAATAATGAAGGATAGTCGAAGGAATAATGAGGACGAAGACGGGAGGAGCATCTCATAAAGGTTCTCGGGCCCCGAAGACCACAGTTGCAAAGGGTACGAAAGGTAACTCTTCAGTGGCTTCCTCAAGCTCAAAACAACGGAAGCCAGTAAAACGAATATCGGGTCCTATGGCTAGTGGGGTGTTCGGGGTACGTGTCTTCAAACCAAGGGACCGCAATCCTTGTTCACCGTTGCTTCACTTCGATTTGGAGGAACATATCTCCTTCAAGGTATTCTTATTTAATTTTACAATTGGCATTTCTCATGTTGGAATAATTTGTAAGTAAGTGGGTCAGAATCAAATTCGTTGTACTGAACCCTTTGTGTTTTCTGTAGCTGACTTTAACAAAAATCAGAGGGTGTGGAAACAACGACAAGTGTGCTGAATGGTATAACATAGGAATGCACGACACGGTGAAAGCAAAGGTGAAAGAAGCTGGATTTGCGCCCTTTTTGTCAATATTGGGGCATGGTAAGAAAGGGGACAGGCCATTACTTGTGGCCTTAGCGGAGAGATGGTGGGACACTACCCACACCTTCCATTTCGATGAAGTTGGAGAGATGACGATGACACCAACGGACTTCGCAGCAATCACTGGATTGCGTGTTGGTGGGAAGCGTTTACAGTATGACTTCGAGATGTACAAAAATAAGAACAAGATTATGAAATTGTTTGGGAAACCAATCGCAGACCTACTGGCAGGGGAAAGGAGAGTGCCGTATGAAAGCCTTTGCACCCCGTATTGGAACAAGATTCCGAAAGATGATAAAGAAGCAGACCAAATTGCCAGGGCATTTATACTCAGCTTGATTGGCTCCTCATTCCTAAATGATAAGAGCCAATACGTGAGTATGCACTACGCCCCCTGTTTGGAAAGAGTATCAGACATTGGTAAATACGACTGGGGCGGTGCGGCTTTGGCTTGCTTGTATAGATCACTGGATTCTTGTTCCAGGGGCAGGTCATCGAGCATGGGCGGGTATTGGAGGGCATGGGAGGTTAGTCTAATTGAATTGAATGTCCCAAAAGTGCAACAGACTTTTTTGCTTACATTACTAATTTGTATACTTCTTTTGTGTAGGTATGGGCTTGCGAGTACCTAAAACCGTTTGCTTTATCGAGGCCCAGTGGGACCGTGAAAACGTGGCCCCGAACATTGAGGTGGATTGGTGCAAAATCAAAACGGGACTTACAACATCACTTGGAACATTTTAGAGTGATGATGCGACATCTCACAAAGGATCAGGTATAAAGCCTTGACTCTTGTACCCATATTTTGTGACCACAAAAATGTATGATTCGCAAATGTTAGCAATTTGTATTGCAGGTAAATTGGAACCCATGGGGGACCAATGAAGCCGAGTTGCCGGAAGAAGTAAAAAATAGTGTGCCGGCAACTCGTAAACGAATCCTCCTTGAGGGACCAGCTGGTTCAGCCTGGTTTTTGGGAGAGCGAGTCACAATGCAAAGTTTAGGCACCACAGAACCTCAAGTACCGAAAATTCCACCTAGGACAATGCTTTCGGATTATAAACTCACTGATGAGTTAGAAGTCGAGGAAGCACTGAATGGGTATCCAGCTTCCGAATGGCTTGCAAATTCATCTGACTATGCCCAGTACAGAGATGAGTACATACGGTATCGCCACTATGTGGACTTACGTGAAGCGGTACGTTCTACATTGAACGCGTGTTATGTAATTACACTTGCTGCATGAAATGCATATAATTTTTCAAAATTCTAAAATGATATCTGAATTCCACAGGAAGAACAAGATCGAACTCCAGAAGGGGCCAAGATAAGGGTAGCAAACATCTCTCCTCAGCCATGGTCAGTGCGAATACCATACTGGGCCGCTGAAAATGGAAGTAAACTTGTGCGGATACCCCGTGGCCAAGATAGCCCAGATCTACCATTACCTGATGGTGTCACGCATGTAAGTAGCTTCTATTGCATAATTTATTAATACCTGACGGCTTCCGGTGGTCATTGTTGTAATTACATGTGCCGTAATGTAGGTCACTGCTGAAGCTGCAACCGAGCTTTTGGACTTAATTGCTGGGTTGAATGCTGTACTATTTTCAACTGCATTGGAAGCAAGCGTAGAGAACAGGCGCCTACAGCAAGAGATTGTGAGTCATTTCATACTCATTTCATAAAATTAACAAACATCACGAATGTTATAATCAGATAACAAACCATGGTATTGAACATGAACGATGTTATCTTGTAATAGGAGAAATTGAAGAACACCTCGGGAACAAGCATTGGGAGTTCGGGTCTTGTTCAACACGTCGTAGATGATGATGTAGAACATGTAAGTTTGTTACTTCCAACCTCCATTGTAAAGTTCGATGTATAAGATGTTTAATTTTGCAAATTTAAATACTATGTTACATTCTGCAATGCAAACCAGCATCACTTGTGTGCACAACAAATGTGAACAACATTGTTTATTTATATATGTCAATGTTTCTCTTGATGTAGGAGTTTCGCACAAAATGTCAACATGACATAGGTAGAAAGGGAAAGACCAAACTTGCGATACAAGAAGAGCATGAAGAAGATGAGGAAGAGGAAGAAGATGAGGAAGAGGAAGAAGATGAGGAAGAAGAGGAAGAGGAAGAGGAAGAAGAGGATGAGGAAGAGGAAGAAGAAGAGGAAGATGAAGATGAAGAGGGAGCTGACGAGGAAGTTTGGATCGAAGAGGGGGATGAGGATGAGGATGCGGATGAGGACGAGGATGCGGATGAGGGTAATCCGGATGCAGAACAACACTCCACAGACCAAAAACGCAAAGGTGAGAAAAGTCTTCGTTCACGTACCTCAAAGAGAAAGAAAACCATGTAAAGTATGGATACAGTGACATTTTTCGGATCATGGTATCTTCGTTTTGTAAAGTAATATGTTCAGTTTATTGGCCCTTACCGTTTCTCATGTAGTATATTTCGGTTCATTTTGCGGCCTTCAATGGATCCATTTTTCCTCTGTAGTGGTTTGCGCACAGTCACTCTCGCATTGCATCAACGTGGTGCAATTGCATGTCTACAATGCAAATGCTGACCGGGTGTGTGCAAACTAAAGCTAGCTTCAAAACGCTAACCTAATTAATGGATAGTGCAAAGACAAAGAAAAGGAAGTTCCGAATTTGATTAGGACCCTCTGTGTATTATTTTTGTATTAGGGTTAATCACATTTTGGTTTACGAAATTGAGGATATTTTGGAAAGTCATTTGTGCTACATGACAATGTGTATTAGTATGTAATTTCGATAATTGGTCGATTTGTAATAGAATATGTTCGGCTTATAGCCCAACCCTTAGCATTTATTTGAATGCTCTGTATTTCTGTTGATTTCGCCCTTCGATTTATAGCTAAAGAAATAGGTCTACTTATGCCTGTACCGAAAAAAAAAGATCAATTTTTGGTTATGATGGGTTTGCGCACAGTCACTCTCGCATTGCATCAACGTGGTGCAATTGCATGTCTACAATGCAAATGCTGACCGGGTGTGTGCAAACTAAAGCTAGCTTCAAAACGCTAACCTAATTAATGGATAGTGCAAAGACAAAGAAAAGGAAGTTCCGAATTTGATTAGGACCCTCTGTGTATTATTTTTGTATTAGGGTTAATCACATTTTGGTTTACGAAATTGAGGATATTTTGGAAAGTCATTTGTGCTACATGACAATGTGTATTAGTAATTGTAATTTCGATAATTGGTCGATTTGTAATAGAATATGTTCGGCTTATAGCCCACCCCTTAGCATTTATTTGAATGCTCTGTATTTCTGTTGATTTCGCCCTTCGATTTATAGCTAAAGAAATAGGTCTACTTATGCCTATACCGAAAAAAAAAGATCAATTTTTGGTTATGATGGGTTTGCGCACAGTCACTCTCGCATTGCATCAACGTGGTGCAATTGCATGTCTACAATGCAAATGCTGACCGGGTGTGTGCAAACTAAAGCTAGCTTCAAAACTAAACCCGTTCGCCTAAAATATGCGCCAACCACGTTACTTGTTCTAGTGAACGTAATGCTTTCGTTTGTACAGTAAAGTTACCCGTTCAACAAAAAATGAGCCCAATGAACTGACTTTTTCAAAAAAACGGGAACATTGTTCAACCGAACGCAAAGGTTTGCTTTCGTTCAAAAATGTTTGACGTTCCGCTGAAAAAAAGGGCCAAAAAACTTATTTTTCAAACGAACAGGGTATTTGTTCACACGAACGCAATGCGTGCGTTTCGCCAAAAAAGTTACCCTTTCGCCGAAACAATGCACCAACTAACTTACTTTATCAAACAAACGGGTTACTTTTTCACTCCAACACACACACATACGTTCGTTAAGGAATCATTTCTGTTCGCCCAAAAAAGATATCCAACCAACTTACTTTTCCATACAAACGAAGTATTGTTCTAGCAAACGGAAGAGTTGCGTTGGATCAGTAAAAATACCCGTTCAACGAAAAATGGGCCCAATTAACTAACTTTTTCAAACAAACGGGGAGTGTGTTCAACCGAACGCAAGGGTTTATTTTCGTTCAGAAAAATTGTACGTTCCATCGAAAAAAAGGCCAACAAACTTACTTTTGCAAACAAACGGGATTCTTTTTCATGCAAACAAAATGGGTGTGTTCGTTCAGTAAAGTTACTCGTTCAACGAAAAATGGGCCCAACTAACCAACTTTTTCAAACAAACAGGGAATGTGTTCATCCGAACGCAAGGGTTTACGTTGCTTCAGAAACATTAAACGTTACACCGAAAAAGAAGCCCAACAAACTTACTTTTGCAAACCAACGGCCTTCTTTTTCACACAAACGAAACGCATATGTTCGTTCAGTAAAGTTACTCCTTCAACGAAAAATTGGCCCAACTAACTAACTTTTTCAAACAAATGGGGAGTTTGTTCAACCGAACACAAGGGTTTATTTTCGTTCAGAAAAATTCTACGTTCCACCGAAAAAAAGGCCAACAAACTTACTTTTGCAAACCAAGGGGATTCTTTTTCACACAAACGAAATGGGTGTGTTCGTTCAATAAAGATACTCGTTCAACGAAAAATGAACCCAACTAACCATCTTTTTCAAACAAACAGGGAATGTGTTCACCCGAACGCAAGGATTTACGTTGCTTCAGAAAACTTAAACGTTACACCGAAAAAGAAGCCCAACAAACTTACTTTTGCAAACCAACGGGCTTCTTTTTCACACAAACGAAACACGTATGTTCGTTCAGTAAAGTTAATCGTTCAACGAAAAATGGGCCCAACTAACTACCTTTTTCAAACAAACGGGGAGTGTGTTCAACCGAACGCGAGGGTTTATTTTCGTTCAGAAAACTTCTACGTTCCAACGAAAAAAAGCCCAACAAACTTACTTTTGCAAACCAACGGGATTCTTTTTCATACAAACGAAATGGGTGTGTTCGTTCAGTAAAGTTACTCGTTCAACGAAAAATGGGCCCAACTAACCAACTTTTTCAAACAAACAGGGAATTTGTTAAACCGAACGCAAGGGTATAGTTTGCTTTAGAAAAATTAAACGTTGCACCGAAAAAGAAGCCCAACAAACTTAGTTTTGCAAACCAACGGGCTTCTTTTTCACACAAACGAAGTGGGTATGTTCGTTCAGTAAAGTTACTCGTTCAACGAAAAATTGTCCCAACCAACTTACTTTTTCAAACAAACCTAGTGTTTGTTCAAGTAAACATATAAATTACGTTCACTCAGTAAAGTTACCCGTTCCAACACAAATGAGCCCCACGAACCTTCATTTTCAATCAAACAGAATGGGTTGTGTTTGCCCAGAAAAATGCCACGTTCCCCAGAAAAATAACGCCAACAACTAACTTTTTCAAACGAACGTGATTGTTGTTGACGCTATCGCAAGCGTTACGTTGGTTCAGTAAAGTTGATCGTTCCCTGGAACCATAGGCCCAACAAACTTACGTTTTCAAACAAACGGAGTATGTGTTCAAACAAACGCATGGTAGTGCGTTAGTTTAGAAAAAGTAGACCTTCCCCATAAAAAGAAACCCCAGTCAAAGACTTCTACCATATTAGACTACAGATGAAGGATTATTTAAAGAGTTACTTCCTATACATTTTAACTCAAAGACTTCCACCTCTTTTACTACGTAAACACAATCTGAGAGAAAAAAAAACCCAAACAATGTCACATTCAATGGTTGGTAGCTCTCGAGGCTCCTTCACGCCCAAGAAGAAGATGGTGGATGATGATGATGGTGTTGATTCTTCGAATTATGCCCGCGAGCAAGTGAAACGAGCCCATGATGTCACGAAGACTCCCACCGAGACGTGTAAGAACATGTTTCATGAAGGAGATTCAACCACCAGGTACGAACTTTACAATGGCGGGATTGATATCGGCTTTGAGATCTTTAGGAAATACGCTCAGTTTGTTGATGCTGGTTCAACTAAGTGGGACAAAATCGAGGTATTCCAAGCAATTGCTATTTTGGAGAAGCGAGCTCCGTGAAGCACCGGTATTTTATAAGTATTGTGTTGTTCAGCTCGTGAAGCACCGGTATTTTATAAGTATTGTGTTGTTTGTCATAATTTCGGATGTAATTTCAGATGTTATAATTTCGGCTGTAATATCGGATGTTAGATGTTATAATCAGTATGGTCAAATAGTTTGAGGGTTTAGTTTTGTAACAAAAAAACCCCAACATATGGTTAGGAGACCTTTATTATCAATGAACTAGGCACTCCTGTCTCGTAAATGAAGTCTGGGCCCCAGATATGCTATAATGTTCCCATTCTGGCAACAAAAAAAATCATGTGTGCAATGTATTACACGAACTAGATAACGTGCAATTGGCCGTGATGTAATGCAATTGTACATGATATATTGCAAAAATAATGTCCCCGCATGCAAACAGGGATAAGTACATGCAATTGCACTACATTAACCATCAACCCTATGTGACCTACTGTCAAACTTTCTACTTTGCCTGGGAGCGTGTCATTGGCTTCCTTGCGATGGGATGATGAGGGATGAAGGGACCATGTTGTTCAGCCAACTTGTCAAGTCCTTCACGCCCAAGAAGAAGATGGTGGATGATGATGATGGTGTTGATTCTGCGAATTATGCCCGCGAGCAAGTGAAACGAGCCCATGATGTCACGAAGACTCCCACCGAGACGTGTAAGAACATGTTTCATGAAGGAGATTCAACCACCAGGTACGAACTTTACAATGGCGGGATTGATATCGGCTTTGAGATCTTTAGGAAATACGCTCAGTTTGTTGATGCTGGTTCAACTAAGTGGGACAAAATCGAGGTATTCCAAGCAATTGCTATTTTGGAGAAGCGAGCTCCGTGAAGCACCGGTATTTTATAAGTATTGTGTTGTTGAGCTCGTGAAGCACCGGTATTTTATAAGTATTGTGTTGTTTGTCATAATTTCGGATGTAATTTCAGATGTTATAATTTCGGCTGTAATATCGGATGTTAGATGTTATAATCAGTATGGTCAAATAGTTTGAGGGTTTAGTTTTGTAACAAAAAAACCCCAACATATGGTTAGGAGACCTTTATTATCAATGAACTAGGCACTCCTGTCTCGTAAATGAAGTCTGGGCCCCAGATATGCTATAATGTTCCCATTCTGGCAACAAAAAAACTCATGTGTGCAATGTATTACACGAACTAGATAACGTGCAATTGGCCGTGATGTAATGCAATTGTACATGATATATTGCAAAAATAATGTCCCCGCATGCAAACAGGGAGAAGTACATGCAATTGCACTACATTAACCATCAACCCTATGTGACCTACTGTCAAACTTTCTACTTTGCCTGGGAGCGTGTCATTGGCTTCCTTGCGATGGGATGATGAGGGATGAAGGGACCATGTTGTTCAGCCAACTTGTCAAGTTCTTCGTCGACAACTCTTCGAGCGGACTCCCTTACTTCCTTTAGACACGTGTTGTTTGGGTTCTTCAGCAATGATAGTGCAACACGAACCCGCTCAGTTGCATGTTGAAACTGCAAATAAAAAACAACCCATCAAAGAAATGATTAAGAAAAATATCTGCCGTGGAAGACAAAAGTATGAAACGATATATATGCCGACTCACTTTATTTGAACCGTGTGATGTGCATTCAATATCTTCTAGCCAATTCATAACGAAGATACCACAATCATATCCATTTTGTTGTTTGCGGGCCTTGTCAGTTCGCACAATGTTGAATTTTGCAAACTGCCATCCCTTTTCAAAATATTTTACAATCTCATCTTTGTACATGTAGTCCAGAACTTTCATCTACAACACAATCAATTCAAATCAATTCTTAGTCCGGATGTTAGGATAATAAAAAGACAAACCAAAATAAGGTCAATTCAACTTACAATTCGTTCCCCTAGTTGATAACGACCTGCATTGTATCTGGCACCGGGGAGGCTATCCCATATTTCAACCTTTTTATCACCAATATGCACAACTACCAAATACCAATGCTTCCCAATTCGATCGTAAACGGGAATGAAAATCTAGGACCACACTAACTTGGTTAGAAAAACACACAAAACAAATGCGCACTAAAGATGTTGTAAAAAAGAACTTAAATTTATACCTTCTGGCACTTGTGAAGGCCTACGGTGAACCGGTTTGAATTTTCCTTCTTAAGTTTGACCCCCAATTGAAAAAGTTGGTCATCACTTGTATTATTAACTTGCTCCTACATTCACATATAGTGTAAGCGTAAAATCATTTACTAAATCACAAACTATAAGTGTTTGAAAAATATGAATGCTTACCGACATATATGTGGGGAAGTACCAATTCCCCGACCCCTTTTCTTGTAGATAATAGACTTGTGCATTCAGTACTTGATCATTTATCCACATTTCGGGCCTCAAGCACATGAACTCCCTTCTCGTGACATGATGTTCGTTTTTAATTTGAATTATAACTTCATCACTACAACGGAAGAAGAAAGCAATTGGTATAATTAAATTCACATACACGACAACATATAAGGAATTTGGTCGATTTCATAATTCAACAGTTGTAAGTAGTTACCTTGGAAGGTTGTTAGACCTAAAAATATAACTAAATAACTCAAAATCGGAGTCTTGTAAGTCCCCGTGTTTTAATTTGAAAGGCCCAATTTTAATCTTAGACGCCATCTTCTGCACAGCCTTTCCTTTTGCGTTTGAAGGGTCAACCCATGGCTCTCTACAATGAACCCCTGGACGCCTTTCGGCCGTTCGACGTGTTTTAATGCCACTATGATCACCACGGGCCGATTTTGTGAACTTCCTCTTTTCCACGCCAATTTTCAACTGTGGAAAAGGGAATTCAAATATTACATTTAGGAATAAAAAATAATTAAGTATTTTACAACTATGTAAATAAATGCATACTTAATAAATGTAAAAGATAACAAGAAACTCGATCTTGAAACTCCTAATCGCTCATCATACCTCGGGTTCACTGAAACTCTGTCCATCCGGTAATGGCGTCCAAGGATTTTTTTCATCAACTGCACCTTTCTCCTTTAATTGGCTACATTCTTCACCCTTCTTCACAACATTCTCACCACCTTGATCTCGTATTTTCAATGCCCCATCCTCAATTTCATTGACATCTTCATGTGCCGGATGAACATGTTGTCTTGCGTCTTTCATGAAGGATCTCATTTCACTCATTACCTCGGTGAGTTCCAACACTGATCGCTTCACCTCCGCCTGTATTACCGGCACCAATCTGATAGCAACTTGTTCAACAATTCTTTCAACGTCGACTCCGGACACTTCATTCGTTGAATGGTGCTTTGAAACAACCCGAACGGTAGGACTATCAAACCCACCTTGCTTTCTAACCCATTTAATCATTTTCCACAGTGACTTATTGTCCCATGACACAATGGGATCCAAAGACTTATCAACATATACTCCACCATGGAGAATTGAATCGAAATAGAATAGTTGGAGAAAAAGCAGTGACCCATTTACATATGAAACTTTCTTCGCTTGGAACGACCTAACACCTTCACATAAGAAGTTGAATCCATGGTCGGCCCAGTTCTTGGTCTCTATCTTCCCTGGGATCGTCAAGAAAGTTAAATAGTTCCCGATCACTGATGGTGAAGATGTGGGGCAAAGTATAGTGCCAAGTGCAAACATCACGAATCGAACTTTAAAGTCCTCATCCACATGTTCGCACTTTTCCAATTGTTCTGCTAAACCCTTTACTAATACTCTCTTGCCATTTCCACCAAAACTCTTCACTAACTGTTTCACCTTTTCATCTTCTACAGCACAGTCCAGTTGAACATCCTCGCCGATGTTCTTAAGCCCCATAACACGCCCAAACTCAACGGCACCTATTCCAAACACATTGCCGTGCAGTTCTATAGAGGACGTATCAGGATTGAACCTTTGAATCAAAAATTGGCATAGTTGGCGGTGTAAACGAGTGCAGGACAATGATGCCATATTACCGAACCCAATAGCATCAATTGCTAACCGCTTCTCATTCGACAATTTTTCCACCGTACGATGGAATCGGTCCGGGCTGCATCTAGTGACAAAACTCATCTCATTCACTGAGTCGTCTACTAGCCCAGTCGAACCTTGTACTTTCCCACTCGAACCTTCCAAGGCAGCACCATATGTTGCCTTCTCTGTAGGGTTCAATTTCCTCCACTTGTTAGTAATCTCTTCTTGTACCTGAAAAACAAAATTCTCATTAAAACAGCCTTTTTAATACAATAAATAATAAATTGACCCAATCAATAGCAATCTCTCACCTTACTCTCCAACTTTGCATTGGCCCCTTTTCCCATTTCAAGTCGTTCTTTTTTCCTGTAAATCATTTATTTTTAATCAAAAAACCATCATAATATTAAGCAACCACATTTCCAATTTTTAGATGTACGTGTAACTTACATGAAATTAAAAAATGCATTTCGGCCAACTCTTGATTGTTGCACATTACTCTCCGCCTTGCGCTTTCCTTTCGCTGATCCCCTTTTTTGAGCTTCCATAACTTGCACAAATCAAGTACAAAACACTGTCATGCACTTGTCTCTAGCGCCGAGATTTTGAATACTAATCCAAAGCCTAATACACCCTAAACCCCCTAAACCCCGTAAACACCACAACATCACACATTGCTTAATTATAAAAATACGGGGACCTGGATTTGCACACAGTTGCTTAGTATTGCATATACTGATATGCAATTGCACGACACTACTTGCAAGTGCATCAGACCTCGATTATAACATTGCACAGATAACGCACACAACCCACCCATGCATTTCTCCCATGGGCCGGGATTCTTACTCTTTTCAAATCCCAATCCAAATCTTAACCAATCCTAACATTACACTTTCGGAACACTTTACTCCCCATAACAAATTATTCAAAAACACAGTCAAACCTACCTACCTACCACGAAATCACCTCACTTGCATAATTTGAAAACTAAACTAGATATTGTAATTGCATTCAGTGACTTGGATTTGCATACAGGAGATTAGTAATTGCATATACAGATATGCAATTGCATGAACATTACAACCATGAATGTGAAATACCCACTTCACCTCACGACACTTTCAGAATGAGAAACCCACTTCATCTCATCAATGTGAGAAACCTACTTCCCCTCTTGCCCCAAGTCATCACCACACAATTTCAATTAACAATAAAATAAAACATAGTGTTCACTTACCTTCACAAGGAACTATTACCAAATGCTTTCAGAAGGGCTCGATTGTAGATGAGAGGAGTGCCAACGCAGTGACTGGAAAAACTGATTTCCAATTCCTATTATCAACCCGAAATACTAACCCTAAACTTTTCCCCAAAATCCAAACCCTAGAATAGGGGTTTTTTGACAATGATGACAAAGAAGAGAGAGAGGTTGCAGAGAGGAGGAAGAAACTTTCTGCAGGAGGAGTTGAAGAAAAGATTATCAGTTTGAAGTTTGAAGTTGCAGAAAAGATTATCAGTTTGAGGAAGAAGAACGTTGACTGAGCGTGAACGTGAAATCGTTCCCTTGTTCACATCAGCAGCGCGTCAAATTTTTTACCTGTTGACCAGGTCAGCAGGTTTCCTTTGTTTTAAAAAAACCTCACGTGATGGGCTGTACACCTCACGTGATGGGCTGTACCGGTGCACCCGATGCACCACAGAAGGACTCTGATCATTATTGAGTTTCAAACTTGTTAAGTAGGAGGATACAGTGCATGGATTTTATTAATGTACGTAAAAACCAATAGCTAGCTAGGATCTCCTATGTCATGGGCACAGCTATTAGAGGCTGAGCCTTCTCTAAAGTGAGGCCAAACTTGTCTTCCATGTTCATGGTCTCTGGTGCAACCCCATCTTCAAGCTTCCAGTTATCAAAGCAGTTAAGAAGTGACCCCAACATCAAGTTCAGCATTCTCATTGCCAATGGTAACCCAGGACAAATTCTCCGTCCACCACCAAACGGTATAAGCTCAAAGTTCCTCCCTGTAATGTTTATACCATATTTGACCAAGCAACTAGAAGCATCTAGGCAAAGCAAAGAGTCCCACATTGGAATATTACAAGAAGTGAAGGCTCCCCCTCACCTATAAAGGAGACCACTCTCCCCTTAGAAAAGGATCCTTGGGCTGGGCTTGATATTTAGTCATGGCCTTCTCCTTTCTTACTTTTATATTTGGGTCCAACCCCATGTACAAATGTAAATACACAATATTATAGTAATGAGAATATACTTCTCCGTGGACGTAGCCCATTCATTAAGGGTGAACCACGTATATCTTGTCTTCTGTATGTTTATCGCTTGCTCCAATCCTCACACACTTGGTGAAGGTCCTCACCTTCACCCATCATCCATCACACCTCATCACTAAGTTGGCCTCAAAAGTGCCGAACCATTTTTGAGCGTCAATAGTTTGGCGCCGTCTGTGGGAATCGACACAAAAAGCTTCTGTCATTCTCCCCTTCTTCAGTGCCCTTCGGCAGTGCCCTTCGGCAGTTCCTTTCGGCAGTGCCCTTCGGCACCCCTGCAATCAGCATCTCCTAAGTTGCCGTTCGGCAATCCCATGCTGGAGCAACCATGAATGATAAGGCAACAAATTGCAAAAGATGATATTTCAAGGAAAAACCAATCAGAATGTGGATGCCATTTTGCATGGCTTGCATGCCTTGCATGACCAAACCATCATCTCAATTCAAAGTGCCGTTCGGCACCCCCTTTGAAGAGAAAGTTTGGCAACCTTGAGTCGCCAAGGCATCAAGATGTCGAAGATACTATTGCCGAAACCTCCATCAGATAAGTGGCACATTCATTATTTTTATAAGTTATTTAATATGGAAGGAACTTGTTATTCTTGGGATCAAGCAAAGCCACGTGCATTGTTTCTAAGAGATACATCACATTGCCTTATCTTATATTTTAGTATATTCGTAAGCATGCAATTCAATGATTGCATATATTATTCAAGTGGCTTAATCGGTGGCCTAGCATTCATTCATTCTCATTTTAGTGCTATTTTGTCCTATTTGCCATATAGGAAAGCCTGGAACAATTTCAATGGCCAAGCCAAACGGCACACCCATATAAAGGATATTGCTCAAGGCACCCAAGAGCTTTGAAAGATCACCATCTCCATGCCACTTGACCAGCTTCCGAACGTGGCTCTAGAAAGGCACATGCACTTGGAAGTGGGATGGCAATAAAACATTGCTTCTGGCCATTTGGCAAATATGAAACAGAAGGTATCTCTGCAGGCACCTAGCTACCGTCCTGCGTCATGCTCCCCTTAAATACTAGTGGAAACCAAAGCTACTGTTCGGCACCCACAGACTGAGTAATTATTCAAGTCACCCTGGAGGCACCTCATCATCAATGCAAAGGCTCACGGTATCGTTCGGCACCTCATCCTTCAAGCCAACTGATATTCCCAAACCTCCACCTTACTTATTTTTCATAAGCTACCGTTCGGCACCCATGCCAATAAATACTCAACACACCCACCTTTAAATCGGTGGCTATCAGAGACCACACATGTTCTTATCGGACGACAAGAATCACAACAATCAGTATGCCACAATGAAGAGGTCTCATACCGTTTAGCCTAATCACGAGCTCCAGGACCTTTCATCTTGCTAGTTCTTCGTCGCACCATGAACGACATTGCTGATTCCAAAGGGTTCCAATATACCAAACGGCACCCATGACGAAGATCTTATCAAGACACCCATGGCGCTTCCGTGTTGGCACTTACTCAGGCATCACCAACTGCTCTGCTTCCGCATCGACGTCTCTTATTAAAGCAAAACACCCTCCGATTCTCCTTGCCGAACGGCAACAACAGCAGAGAATGTGGCTTGAAATTTATCCATGTTATACGACAAAACGGACGGTATCAGCTCAAGACTTGGAACGAGCTCAAAAAAGGTGAGGTACAATTTGCTCAAGGCACCCTTGCCGAACGGCAAGGGTTGAACAAACAAGTTTCCTCCACGGTGCTCCTGCCGATCGGCAGCCTTAAGCCAGTCCTTCCAAGTTTGCACGGAACCTGCCAATGTTTTATCTCATAAGCCCACCATGGTTTCAGGCAACACTTCCGAACGCCACGTGCATAGCCTCCCCTGCCGAACGTGTGGCTAATGCCTCCCAACTTTCAAGGATGAACTCACCCTTGATCCTCACCCTTGGTTTTCTAGGAACCTTGCCGATCGACAAGTATGCTGAAGAGCCGTGACTGAACTCTTGTCCAAACTCAACCTCGCTGAAGGACCAGCTCAAGGCCACTCCTCTCCGACACTCGAGGACCCGCACCCCTTTCGAACCTGTCTTGCCGAAAGCACAGGGGGACTTCCAAGAAATTCTCAGCCCACCCTTACCGAACGGCGAGGGTTATGCTGAAGCAAAGAGACAACCTTTGTGGACCTTGCCGAACCCCCAATAGCATAGCTCCACTGCTTCCACAATGAATACCGTACGGAAGCTGGTCGTCTTCCCCATCATGAGCTACGCTCTCGACATCCGTCATCTTACCGTTCGGGAAGTCGACGACCGAGCTTGCAAGAGCCCCCAAATCACCTATATCAGATCTGCGATTCACTTACCATTCGGTAGGAAAGCAAAGCGCGACATGCCCAGCGGCAAGCCACGATCAGGCTATTAGCCTCCCACCATGGTTTCCAATCGGCAACCTCGGATAGTCATAAGCTAGAGGAGCTACTTCTCACCGGAATGTTAACCTGCCGTTCGGTAGGAAATAGCTTTCTTTTGCAGAAGCATCACAAAGCCCATACTCTTGTGCAGAATCAAAGCCCCTGGCTATGCACACCATGCCAATAAATTACTCAGGACACCCAAGGAGAATGGGTTCGTCATCGGAAAGCCCAGCTGCCGCTCGGCACCGCCCATTCTCAAACAACCGCATCCTAATAGCCAATGGCCAAACGGCACATGGTAGCTCCTGTGTGACCTCCTCTCCAACTCCCCCTTTACCGTTCGGCAAGTCCAGAACAATGGGCCAAGAGCCACGAAAAGACCACTATCACAGCCAGGAATATGCCAGGGGCCCACGGCTGTTGTTTGGCAGCTCTTTTCTCCCAAACGCAGGGGACTGTTTCCACTATCTGTCAAAACCACAAATGCTGATACGGCACCAAGTGCATCGCCATTGCATCCTTCAGCAGGACATCATGAATTCAATACAACAGTGTTACTATTCGGCACCTCTTTTAAAAAGTAAAGAGATGAGGAATCATAAGGTACAAAATATGGGAGAGGCAAACCAAGGTTCTGAAGGTTCACGCACACCCAAGGCCACCTTGGCCTACTGGCCGAGCAGCACAACCTCATGGTTCACTTCTCTGAAACTGCATCACGTGCAACATGCCCTTCGGCACCACTCAATCCCTCCTTTCGGCAGCTAGTACTGACATGCTTATGTGGCATTTAGCATATGTCTGCCTTCGGCAGATATTGCAGTTACTCACAAAGTGACCAAGCGGTACAACTCATACCATCATCACCTTCGGCACCCTGCCATCATCCGACGAGAGCGATGCCTTCGGCACCCCGTCATCATTTGACACAGCGATGCCTTCGGCACCCTGTCATCATCCGACGAGAGCGCTGCCTTCGGCACCCCCGTCGTCATTTGACAAGAGAGATGCCTTCGGCACCCTGTCATTATTTGACACAGCGATGCCTTCGGCACCCTGTCATCATCCGACGAGAGTGATGCCTTCGGCACCCCGTCATCACCTTCAGCACCCTGCCATCATCCGATGAGAGCGATGCCTTCGGCACCCCGTCATCATTTGACATAGCGATGCCTTCGGCACCCCGTCATCACCTTCGGCACCCTGCCATCATCCGACGAGAGCGATGCCTTCGGCACCCCGTCATCAGTTGAGAAGCGATGCCTTCGGCACCCTGTCATCATCCGATGAGAGCGATGCCTTCGGCACCCCGTCATCACCTTTGGCACCCTGCCATCATCCGACGAGAGCGATGCCTTCGGCACCTCGTCATCACCTTCGGCACCTGGCCATCATTCGACGAGAGCGATGCCTTCGGCACCCCATCATCATTTGACATAGCGATGCCTTCGGCACCCCGTCATCATTTGACATAGCGATGCCTTCGGCACCCTGTCATCATCCGACGAGAGCGATGCCTTCGGCACCCCGTCATCACCTTCGGCACCCTGCCATCATCCGACGAGAGCGATGTCTTCGGCACCCCGTCATCATTTGACAAGCGATGCCTTCGGCACCCTGTCATCATCCGACGAGAGCGATGCCTTCGGCACCTCGTCATCACCTTCGGCACCCGGCCATCATCCGACGAGAGCGATGCCTTCGGCACCCCCGTCATCATTTGACCTTCGGCACCCTGTCATCATCCGACGAGAGCGATGCCTTCGGCACCCCGTCATCACCTTCGGCACCCTGCCATCATCCGACGAGAGCGATGCCTTATGCACCTCGTCATCATTTGACAAGCGATGCCTTCGGCACCCCGTCATCATTTGACAAGCGATGCCTTCGGCACCCTGTCATCATCCGACGAGAGCAATGCCTTCGGCACCCCGTCATCACCTTCGGCACCCTGCCATCATCCGACGAGAGCGATGCCTTCGGCACCTCGTCATCACCTTCGGCACCCGGCCATCATCCGACGAGAGCGATGCCTTCGGCACCCCGTCATCATTTGACATATCGATGCCTTCGGCACCCTGTCATCATCCGACGAGAGCGATGCCTTCGGCACCTCGTCATCACCTTCGGCACCCTGCCATCATCCGACGAGAGCAACGCCTTCGGCACCCCGTCATCATTCGGCACCATCGACACTACACTACTTGGAAGAAGACTAAAGTGTTGCTCGGTCAATGCACTGAAAATTGCAAGTCCTCAACCAAGGAGTACCTCCTTGCTCGAGAACTTGGGGGACTTCTGTTTATACCATATTTGACCAAGCAACTAGAAGCATCTAGGCAAAGCAAAGAGTCCCACATTGGAATATTACAAGAAGTGAAGGCTCCCCCTCACCTATAAAAGGAGACCACTCTCCCCTTAGAAAAGGATCCTTGGGCTGGGCTTGATATTTAGTCATGGCCTTCTCCTTTCTTACTTTTATATTTGGGTCCAACCCCATGTACAAATGTAAATACACAATATTATAGTAATGAGAATATACTTCTCCGTGGACGTAGCCCATTCATTAAGGGTGAACCACGTATATCTTGTCTTCTGTATGTTTATCGCTTGCTCCAATCCTCACACACTTGGTGAAGGTCCTCACCTTCACCCATCATCCATCACACCTCATCACTAAGTTGGCCTCAAAAGTGCCGAACCATTTTTGAGCGTCAACATGTAACATCCATGTCCAATCCCAAGAACCTCTCCGACATAAACGAGTTCGGGTTGTCCCAGATGCTGGGGTCTCTGCCTATGGCCCATGCATTGACCAAAACTTGTGCACCCTTTGGTACAACGTACCCGCAGATTTCTACATCAGCTCCGGCTTTGCGAGGAATTAGGAATGGAGCTGCCGTGTGCAAGCGCAAGGTCTCTTTGATTATGGCTTGTAAGTAAGGGAGCCGGGTGATGTCTGATTCCTCCATTGGTTTTCCTTTGCCAATGATGTGCTTTACATACATTTAGCAGTAAAAGTATCACATTTCAAATGTGGGGTCTAGAATTTCGATTCAAATATGGGGTATTGTTGGAAGTTTGAATTAAATTCAAGAACCTTTGTCCCACATTGATAGAAAGTAGAAAGAGTGAGGTCCTTATAAGTGTGGAAGTGCCACACTTAGTAAATGGAAGTAGGCCAAGTGGAAGCAATTTGGGCTTCAAAATCGATTTGGGCTTTGAATATTATATAAAAACATATAACATTTAATGGTAAAAAAGATGGGCCCTGGGCCTTGGGGCACTTGGGCACTTTCAGATTTAAAATTATTTTTTGGTTTCGAATTAATAATTTTTTATTAATTCGGATTAGTTTTATTAACTGTTTTCTAACAGTTGTGACTCTTCTGATAAGGTTTCAGAAGTTTATTTAAATCAAACAAGGCCTCATACGTTCAAATAGAAAAAAAGCATTCTACAAGCATTTCATATTGTGTGAGAGGAAAACAAACAACGTTCGCCAGATTCTAAGTCCGAGTGCTAGGGCTTAGAATACAGATAGTTGAATCCTGGGAGGCAGTCACCTGTAGAACTTCAAGCACCGAGAAGGGGTGAAATTACTGTCTTTAGGACATTGCATCAAATCTGCAAGCCTCTATCTCAAATTCAAGTCAGTTTTATTTATTGTTAATATACTGTATTCTGTATTACAGATTGTTATAAATTCTGTTTATATAATTGTTTTAATCAGTCATTGATAATTGTTTTTCCAACACTCTTGAGCTTTTGACAATTTTTCGGGGTTGTGTAGTAGCTCAGCCATTGCCCATTCTAATGTGGCTGAAGTTGTGTCTGTGGCAGCAACAAATAGATCCTATAATAATTGGCCAAACTGATTAACTTGTACGAATAAATACTTATACCATATCAATTCAATCGGTGGTAAACTTGACCCCCGATTGAGACAGTAGCAAATGAAATAATCAGTTTAGATGGTACAAATAGCCGCAATAATAATTAAGAAAACAAAAACAAAAGCAAAAATGTATAGTAGTCATAATTAATTTTGAAATCTAAGCAATTTATACCTATATATACACTAGTTAGTAACTTAGTATCAATTGAAACAAAGTTATGAAGATTAAAGAACAAGAGAGCTAGAGTATATATAGGTAGCCACTAACCAGGAACAAATGTTGAGTTTCAACCAACATTTTTCTCTTCACTACTGTTTGTAATGGTATCTAACATATCACTGGTCATGATATAGTCAGGTGCTTTTCTTGATTCCATTCTTTGGATGATCAAGCGATCGAAGAGTTCAAACATCTTCAGAAAGTGACGAGTCAAACGGCGCCGTATCCCCACGGGGTCAATCTTTTTAAGCACTGGAAAATAGTCAGCCCAGTTTGGTTTCGAAATCTCTTCCATAATACTCCGCACCAGCTCCTTGAACTCTCTAGCCCTCTCACTATTCTGGTCCGCTAAATCCACAGAGAAGACAGTCCGCGACATCAAATTGAGCGTAGTTTTGAAAGCAGCACTTCCAATCTCCACTGCATCACCTTTTACAACGCTTTCATGGACATCAGCTATGAGCTCTTGCACTTTTAGGTGACGGTTGGCTTGGCTGGCGTCGAGAACTTTGGTGGCGAACAATTGGGAGTTGCATATTTTGCGAAGGTTTCTCCACTTAGCTGAAACAGGTATCCAGGGCATGCCGTTCTCGCCATGTTTACAGGCTTGGACTGAATCTAATACTGTTCGGTTGCAAAACAATTGGTCATGGGTTTGCAGGACTTGTTTAGCTATGGCGGATGAAGAAACTACAACAGTTGTGATTTGGCCAAGATGTAAAGTCATAATGGGGCCATAGCGTTGTGAAAGCTTGGTTAGGTAGAGGTGGGGTTTGTTTCCAAGCTCTAGAAGATTTCCAATGAAAGGAAGTGGCTTTCGTCCAGGTGGAAGCTTTTTGGGACTTCTTGCAAATGAATAATAGAGGGCATGTATTGAGACCCAGGCAACCATAAGACACATTAGAATGCAACTCAAGAAATCCATCTCTCGCCTAACTTAATTAATTTTTGGCACGATTGTTGAGACTTATCAAGAAAGCATGAAAATATATTTTCAGGACCAACTCTTTTAAGTTCGTTTGTACATATCCTCTAAGCTAAGAGACAAACTTAGGTAAAGGCATTTGAGAACAACTTGGATTGGTAAAGACATTTGAGAACAATTTGCGTCTGGACTTATCTGTTACGAGTGGAAGCTTTTACAAGCTATCTCTATTTACTCCAAGGTGAACTTCCATAAATATCACATGAACTTTTAGGTATGTGCAGGATTACCATATGATAATTTTTAATTTTTTCTAGTAACCACTTGAACTATTTAAAGTGTTGGAATATTTACTACCTACGTCTAACTCCTTTAAAAATTTCCGTTAAATCAAGTCACATGCTTCAAATGTGATATTATTAAAGGTCATTTCCATCAATTCACTATAAAATAAAATAAAATAAAATAAAACCAACCTAATTTTTCCACGACTTTCCAATCCCCTTCCAACACCAGTTCTCACCCATTGCCAAAGTAGCCCCCCTCCCAAATCTAGAAGAGTAGAAACAAAGGAAGAAAAGTGATTGAGCCAACAAGATTTCCAAATACATTTTTTAAATTGAAAAATCAACACCGAATAACTTAATAACAAATTTAGAAAACAAAAATCTGTATTCTAGTGGCATGCACTACTACATTTTAGGCTTTGCGCGACGAAGGCAAGTTCGTCGCGCAAAGATGACTTTAATCGCACATAATTATGCGTGACAGAAGTTTCATCGTGCAAAGATCGTGAAGAAAGACTTTGCGCGACGAATTTATTTCCCTCGTCGCGCAAAAAAGTGCGACGTAGCACCTTCGTTACAAAAAACGTTTGGAGACGACCCAAACGTTCGACGCACAAATGTTTGCGCGACGGTAGGTTTCGTCGCGTGAGATTCATGAAATTTGTGCGACGAAAAGTGCTTCGTCGCACAATTACTCTTTGCGCGACGAAAGACGTCGTCGCGTATGCACATTTTGTGCGATGAAAGACTTCGTCGCGTATGATTAAATTAAGTGTATTTAAAAATTATTTTTCAACTTTAAAAAAAAAAGTGATTTTGTGCGACGATATACATTTCGTCGCGCAAAATTAATATATATTATATAAATTTTAAAATTAAAATTATTTTTAATTTTGTAAAAAAATAAATTTGGTTTTTTTAATAATTAAAATGAAATTGCGATAAAAAGATTAATTGTCAAGAAAAACATTTATTACATAAAATAAAATAAATGTATACAAGAGAAATATTTTAAAAATAATTATGTAAATAAAAAACTAATCAAATAATGTTCCAAAATCTACTTGGTCGTCTGCCACATGCAGCTCGGAGATCTGGGCGTCTACAAGGGCTGTGGTCTGTTGGGGATGCTCGGGGTGGACGGGCTCGGAGGTCAGTGCACCAAAATTCGGAATTGGAATGCAGGACCGCGCAAGGGACTGTAGAATCACCGACATTTGACCCTCAAGCTCGGCAACCCGCGATGTCAAAACAGTCACCTGACTGTTTGCCTGCAACGATGACCGCGGTTGAGGTTCCCTCTGTCGGGCATTCCCCATCGCCCTACAATATGTTCTCGGCCTCCTCCCAAGAGTCTGATCTAACGTCTGCGTCAAAATCTAAAATCCAGCATCCTGTGGAGGATCCACAGACTCGATCGGAGTCTCTGGAGGAAGTTGGGAGGTGGACTCCTGAAGAACCAACTGGCTCCTCTCCACCATCGTCGTCTGTTTAACATTACATAAAATATAAATTAAAACATGCATATAAATTGAATGCGTAACATAAGAATTAAAATTAAATAATACTTACATGAAGGGACTCGGCTAACTCATTCCTAGGTCGAACATAAACGTCACCAAAGACGTCGATCTCTGGGAATTTCGACCCCCCCTAAATTAAACAAGAGAAGAAAAATATTAGTATGAACAAAATAAATTAATAATAATGACGTATTAAAAATTAAATATAAATTATATTATTCTTATCCGCCGCCGTGCATCCATCCTATATGAGAAGGGCCTGGAGCCGGAATGGTGGAGAAGAGTCTTCTTCTTCCTATTGCCCTTATTCACTTGGGCTTTATTCTGTTATACAAAAAATAAAACGTATTAGTTGAAATATAAATAAATTAAATAATAATGACACATAAAAAATAAAATAAACATGAATAAGAAATATGTAATAATTAAACAAATATTATTTATAAAAAAACCACATAATCGGGCGCCTGAAAATGAGTGCAAAGCCACGCCCAACTATCCTCCTGCCCCTCAAGCTCCTTCGGGCAACCCTCTTGAAGAGCAACTTGCAGATCGTCAAAAGCCTCAAAATGGCGGTGCAAGTCGCTCTTCCACTGCTTGTACCTCTCACCGAAGAGTCTGTTGACGTACGCCAACGACTCCTCGTCGAGGTCCTCTAAGTTGTAGTTTGTCTGCAATAAATTAATTACATACATTAAGTAATAGAAATATATAAAGTTTGAAAGAAAAATAATTAAAAGGTAGGATACATACCGACAACTGACCGCGAACCTGTAACTTGATCTCGTCAGGCATGACCTTCCATAACTTGATCTGGTCCGAACGACGTGGCCAATGTCGTGGGCCAAGGAGCTATGCAACTCCGCCATCGGTGCAGCCCGATGGCGCTCGTCGTATCTGATACTGATACGACTGTTGGTCACCCGGGTGACCTTCGCCCTCTTCAGCTGCCGACACAGCCCTCGGGTGTTCCTCTTGGCTGCAAAGAGATATGACAATACTATTAAATAAATAACAAATTTAACTACAAAATTCCCAATTAAAAAAATTAAAAAAAGAACTACAATACCTGGCTATGCCCCCGAGGCACCAGTACCGTCGGTCGATGTGTTGTCGGTGGTGCTGGTGGGCCAGTGCCGCAGCCTAGTGCTAACAGGCTTCACCACCGATGAAGCTAATGATGAAGGCGCTTGGGATCCCCCGGGACCAACTAGCACGTGGTCGTGCTCCATCAGTGCTAGAGCAGTGGCAGCTGATGTCGGCTGAGCCGGGGGCTTCGAACTCGGTGTAGTCTTCACCGCCCTACGACGTCTAATCAAGTCTGACATCTGCACAATTTCATTAATACACATACAAATTAATCAAATTTAAGAATATATACTTAAGCACATACAATGTCATTAAGAAATTGAACTAATTAATTAAAAGCATAGTTTGACCTTGGGTTTGCGATTTCGGAGTATCCGGGACTCCGATCCACGATCCGTCGAATCCTAAACGATCCTATAAATACATGGTAGAACGAACATACGTGAGTTTGAGTTCTATCCAACGGTCCGAACATATCAAACCCGAAAATCACATAATAGGCAAAATCCGTTCGAGACTTAAACAGTAACCAAATTCCAATCCAAACACACCCACGCGCTCGTGACAACTAGGGGATTGCACTGGGACCCAATGCCCAATGCTGCAGTATCCCATGCGCCACCACACGCTCCATCAGCGCGTGGGTGCCCAAAGGGATAACAATCGCTGGAAAATCCTAAAAATTAAGGGCCAAGGTTCCTACCCTAGGTTCAAAACATCAATTGGAGGCACTTTTGTTCTCGGACCTACCCCGAAAAACGGCCGGAAGTGGCCAGAATTTCAATTTAAAAATCGGCCGAAACCTAGGGTTTCAAATCCACTACCCTAGGCAAGGTTCTGAAATCATCCACTTTGCGCGACGGAAATATCTTATTTCGTCGTGCAAGTTTGTCCATCCGCCCAAATTTTGGGATTCGATTTTGCTCGGGGAGATAAATTAAATGAATTTTGCGCAACGAAAGGTACATTCGTCGCGCAAGCTCTGATTTGCCAAAAAATTTACTAAGTGTTGGGGGCGGAGGGGCTGAAATTCTTATTGAGAGTACGCGACGAAATGGAAGTGCATTCGTCGCGCAAGCCTCTGTGTATAAACTTTGCGCGACGAATGTTGGGTTCTTTCGTCGCGCAACTCTCTGATTTGCCAAAAAAATTACTAAGTGTTAGGGGCGGAGGGGCTGAAATTCTTACTGAGATTGCGCGACGAAAGGGAAGTGCATTCGTCACGTAAGCCTCTGTGTATATACTTTGCGCGACGAACGTTGGGTTCTTTCGTCGCGCAACTCTTTGATTTGCCAAAAAAATTACTAAGTGTTAGGGGCAAAGGGGCTGAAATTCTGAATGAGATTGCACGACGAATGGTGAGTTAATTCGTCGCGCAAGTCTCTGATTTGCCACGAAATTTTACTAAGTGTTTTTGGGGGTGCCTTTGTTCTGAGTGAGATTGTGCGACGAAGGGATACTAGTTTTGTCGCGCAAGGCTTTGTTCTGTGCACTTTGCGTGACAAATAAATGTCATTTCGTCGCACAAACCCTTTCCCTTATACCATAAACCCTAAAACCTAAACCCTAAACCTTAAACCCTAACTCCTAAACTAGTTTCAGTGATCCAACCGGCAATCTTGCTTTTTTATACTTCGAGATTGTATACGTCGAAAATCGGAAAAAGTGAACATTCATAGATTAAGTAACGGGACAAAACTTTTCGACGGTTATAAAGAAAAAGTCACGATTTAACAGTTATTTTAACTTTGATTTTGAAATTTTTTTACAGCTGTATTTCTTGACCCTATATGAATACAAAGACTGAATTCGATCTTCAATTTAAGATATTTATAGTACGGGACATCACATAATCTTATGTTATATTGAAGGAAAGTATAAATAAACTCTTCATTGTTGGTGAATATTGTGTTTTGATGGCATACGCATTCTACTAAACTAGTTTTAGTAATCTAGCTGTCAAACTTGTTTGTTTATATTTCGAGATCATAGACCCCAAAAATCAAAAGAAAAAAAACATTCAGAGATCAAGTAACGGGACAAAACTTTTCGACGGTTATAAACGAAAAGTCATGATTTAACGGTTATTTTGACTCCAGTTTTGATGATTTTTTACAGCTACACTCCTTGACCCTATATGAATACAATGAACTAATTCTATCGTCAATTTCAAATATATACGTGTGTATATATCAAAAATATATATATGTTTGCGCGACGAGAGATCTTGTTTCGTCCCGCAAAAATAATTGCGCAACGAGTAAAATTTGAAGTTTACGCAACGGAAATTTTTGTCGGGCAAAATTTGAAGTTTACGCGACGAGTAACTTCACCGTTGCGCAAAATATGCGCGACCATGGCTTCTTCGTCGCGCAAGGTTATTTTCATATTTGTCATTCCTTTTCTTACTATCTATTATCTATAAAATAAATCCCTACAATTTTTATACATGTAGACATAGAATTAAACTGAATTATTGATCATTACATATAATTCAATTAAGATATTGTATGAAAGTATGATTTATTCTATTCTCTTTTGATTTGAGAATTGAAGGATTGTTGATTGGGTGAGTTCAAATCAAAGAAAGTTTTTTGGTCTATCTTATTTTTTTTTATTCATTTTTTCTCTTCTATGAATAATAACATATTTATAATAATTAAATAATGATCAATAATTCAGTTTATAAATATATGGTTATATATATTTTATTAAATTTATGGGCGAACGACGGGAATTGAACCCGCGCATGGTGGATTGTGAATCCACTGCCTTGATCCACTTGGCTACATCCGCCCCTTGTACTATTACAAATATTTACACCATTTATCATTACTTGTAAGATAAAATACAACATTAAATAAACTGAAACTTGTAATATTTTAATTAAATTTTGTAGTAAATTAACTAAAAAAAATATATAGAACAATATAGTAAAGTTAAGTAGTAAATAAAAAAAATACTAAATAGTAAAGGATCAATAATAAACCTCTTGATATAACAAGAAATTTATTATTGCTCATTTACTTTCTTCCGTGAAATTGGTTAATAGGGTCTTGCATCTTCCTATATCTCCCCAATTCTCTTTCTTGTTTATGATTTTCATTTTTTAAAAGTGTTTTATATGAATAAATTTAAAAATTATTATTAAAATGATTTGGATATATTGATTTACCAATAGTTTATAACTACATTTATTTTAATAATGTTTCATTTCTCCACATATATAATGTTTGGATATAACAACTACATATATTCAAACATTTTCATTACACAAAATATGTCCACTAACATAATAAAATTACAAAAAAATTCATTATTCATCATCTGAACTATAATAACTTTCATTATCGTCGCTATCATCACTTTCGGTCTCCCAATCCTCCTCCTCCTCCTCCTCTATAACTACGTCATCGTCGTTGCTTGGGCCCATTGCAATATCGTGTCGCGGAAGATCACCGAGGTCAATTGTAATTGACTGAATTGGTATTTCGATTGAAGACACTCCTTGTATTTGAAACGGTTCTTGTATAACATTTGTATCTCGAAGTGTTTCCGCATCATTTTCCATTGAAGATTCTAAACGTTGGTCAGCCACATTGTCGACGTCGTTGTCAGTTGGGTCTAGTTCTGGTATAGCATACACGTTCTTATGATCCATCTTCTGAACAACGTTCCAACCGCTCCCGGTTTTAGGGTCATCTAGATACACAATTTGTGTTGCCATGTTTGCCAAAATATAAGGGTCGTCATCATACCAAGTTCTGTTAATGTTCACAGATAGTAAGCCATGATCGATTTTAACACTTCCCGGCCTATTTGGGTTGGTGTGAAACCATCAACACTTAAACATAATCATTTGGTATCGATCTTTGTAAAGCAATTGCACGACAATTGTGAATTTGCCATAGAAATCAATGTCCGTACTTTCGCCTCCACCTGGGACATGGACACCACTGTTTTGCGTACACAACTTGTCATCTCGTGCAACCCCTAAAAATTTGATGCCGTTAGCATTACAACTGAGAACAATTCAGCGCGAATCGGGCTGAACGCCAAGTTATATAACTCATCACTTTAAGTGGGGGAATTCGATGATTTCAACTTATTCACCTAATATTATACAAAACCATTCACATGTTAGTATGACAAAATTAAATACTACAATTTATATTTCTCAAATAACAAACACTTATAACTTACAGAATCCAAAAACCATTGTGGAAACAATTTACGATGTTTATGGAAAACCAAATGTGATGAATGTTCTCGCTTCATCATCTCTTCATGCTCATATAAGTATGCCATGATCTCATCACAATTGTTTAGTACGATCCAATGCGCTACCTCCATGTCATTTCTAGAAAACGACTCTCCTTGTTCAGGATCTCCAAAGGGTCATGCGCTTTGGGCAAAAACTGAAAGTTTTTCATTTTTCATACCTCCGTCATTATTGCGCTGAGGACGAGTGAAAGCCGTCTCCACATCTTTTAAATACATTCCACAGAAAGTAAGCGACTCATATTGAACCCAAGCCTCTATAATTGATCCTTCGGGCTTCGCCCTGTTGCGTACACTTTTTTTCAGCTTTTCGAGAAGCCTGCCAAAATAAAACGATATGATACAAATTAGCAAGCATATGATAATGATGCATACACAAACGATAAGGATTATATACCTTCCAATTGGATACATCCAACGATAGTTGACAAGACCAGCAAGCAATGCCTCTTCTGGCAAGTGAAGCATCACGTGCATCATAATTGTGAAGAACGTTGGAGGAAATATCATCTCAAACTTGCATAGGACTTGGACAATGTCATGGCGCAACTGAAACATGTCCGTCTTTCGCAATGTTTTTGCCGTCAGTTGGGAAAAAAATCTGGACAACAAAATGATTGGCTTCACTACATCTTTCGGTAATAGGTGTCGAATACCCACAGGAAGTAGGCGTTGCATAAATACATGGCAGTCATGGCTCTTAAGTCCAATAAATTTACCCCCGTCAACATTCACGCAATGTGTGATATTAGAAGCATACCCATCAGGAAACTTTATAGACGATAAAAACTTTAGAAACTCTTTCTTGTCATTCGATTTCATAGAAAAAAATGCAAGATCTTTTCTAGCTTTATCACTGTCCCTATTCATCCATAAACCCCTTCGTATGCCCATTCTTTCCAAATCAAGACGAGCTTTGATCGTGTCCTTTGTCTTGCCTTCGATATCTAGAATCGTGCCCACCAATGTGTCGAATACATTTTTCTCAACATGTATCACATCTAGATTGTGCCTGAATTTGAGTTTCGACCAATATGGGAGCTCCAAAAACATAGGCTTGTGCGTCCAGTTCATATGTGTAAAAGGTCTGATCTGACTCACTGTTTTCCAGAACGGAGCAAAATCCAAACGGTTAAGCTGGTCCAATATCACATCATTGGACCATTCTCTAAGTCTGAGGCGACGCTCTGTGTTCCTGTCGAACTCTTTATCTTTTTCCCTCCACTCGTGGTCCCATGGCAACCATCTCCGATGACCAAGGTAACAAACTTTTCCAGTATGCCAACCAGAAGTTACATCTTCCTTGCATACAGGACATGCCATATAACCCTTTGTGCTCCACCCAGAAACCATTGCATATGCTAGGAAATCATTCACAGTCCACATAATTGCTGCACGCAAAGTGAACATCTTCCCAGTTGATTTATCGTACGTGCAAACACCGTTTGTCTATAAATCCTTCAGCTCATCAACCAGCGGCCTTAAGTAAACATCGATTGACCTGCCAGGATCCTCAGTTATCAAAACAATCCTCATCATGTATTCTTTTTTCATGCATTTCCAAGGCAGCAAATTATATGGGAATAAATCGGTCAAGTGCTGTGGTGTTGGTTTAGAACCCCGTACGGATTAAATCCGTCAGTGGCAAGTCCCAATCTAACATTTCGGGGATCAACAGCAAACTCGGGGAATGTTCGATTGAGCTCTTTCCATGCCTCCCCATATGCAGGATGCCATATCACATCATTGTCTACTCGTTTTTCCTTATGTCATCTCATGTCTGCGGCCGTATGCGTCGACATATACAATCGCTGCAACTTAGGTTTTAGCGGCACATAACGCATGACTTTTTGAGGGATCTTAGTCGTTCATTTTGAACCTCGACTCATTGCATATAGGGCATGTATCCAACGTTTCATGCTCTTTGTAGAATAACATGCAATTGTTTTTGCAAGCGTGAATTATTTCATGACCCAATCCCAGACCATTGAACACCTTCTGCGCGTGTTTATGGTCTTTCGGCAAAAAATTGTCCGTCAGAAGCATTCTCTTGAAACCCCCAAAAAGTAATCGAAACACAAGTTCGACATACGATAATTAATTGGACCGCAGTCATGCTTTACGCATCCATGCACGAAATGCAACTAATCTCGAACGGGAAACTAAGTGTTACTAAAAAACAATAATAAAAGTACGAAGTTAATTTCAATTAACTTCGTACATCACAACACATTGTGCTATGACACGCACAATTTAACAACATAATATAAATATAATTTCACAACAAAAAATATAAATATAACAAACTAAGTTCAATCGTTCTCTACAATCGCAAATTACAAATGTCTATAATGAGAACAAAATTAATACCGTTAGTACGAATTTACATTAATACTTTTAAACAAACAACAAATAATATTTACCCAATGAGCGTATTGAATTCCCAGCAGAGACAGCAGCGTAGCACAGCACAGACAGATTTCTAAATTTTTTTTTACATTCTGACTCTGCAATGGCGGAATGCAGATACGTAGAAGAAGGAGTTTGCGCGACGAAGTCTCATTTTCGTCGCGCAAAACAACTTTTTCGTCACATAAAATGACCTTTTTTCGTCGCGCAAAGACCTGTCAACATCGGAATTTTGCGCGACAAAAAGATATCATTTGTTGCGCAAACACTAAACGGCGTCGCGCGTATGCAAATTTCCGTCACCCGAGAACTTGCCAACATCACACTTTGCACGACGAACCCTATGTCCGTCGCGCAATCATTTGCCGCCAAAAAATAACATTTTTTCGTCGCATAAAATGACATTTTTTCGTCGCGCAAAGACCTGTCAACATCGGAATTTTGCGCGATGATAAAATATCGTTCGTTGCGCAAATATCCATTGCGCAAACCCTAAACGGCGTCGCGTATACGCAAATTTCCATCACCCGAGAACTTGCCGACATCACACTTTGTGCGACGAACCATATATTCGTCGCGCAAGAATTTGCCGCAAAAAAATTTGTATTGCAGTTTTTCCTGTCCACTTTTACGCCACGAAATTTATAACCGTCGCGCCAGGATATCTTGCGCGACGAACTATATCGTCGCGCAAATGTATGGCGCCAAAAAAAATAACCCGGGTTTTTCTTCCCCACTTTGCGCGACGATTCGTTTGTTTGTCGTGCTAAGCATCTTTGCGCGACTAAATATTTCGTCACGCAAGATTTTGTAGTTTTGCGCGACGAATTTGTTCTTCCGTCGTGCAAATAGTAAAATGTAGTAGTGATGGCTCTATGTGCTTTTCCTTTAGATATTGCCTTCGCAAGTTCAATCTACCATCATATTGAAGGGGATGTGTAGTGAACAAATTTTAAGAGGCAATGATCTACAGTTTCTAAATTCATCTTCCTGTGATGTATTATGAAGAAATTTTAAGAGGCATGACGTATGAGATCCAAGCCTAGTGAAGCAACTAACACCAAAATTTTGAGGAAAAAAAAAATAAGAAAGATGAAGATTGGCCTCAACCATCGTCCAAGAATAACTCAATTTCAAAGAGAAAATGTTCACTTTATTTTGGTGAGGGAGAATTGGTGTTTGAAGGAGGTGGGGAAGTTTGTGAAATAATTAGGTTAGTTTTCCTTTTTTTTTTCTTCACTTAAAATTAAATTCCGTTAGTTTTTAAATTTTCAATATATATATTGATTGACATAAAAGCCCTTAAAAATCATATGTGCATTATGTGATTTGATTTGACAAATTTTTTTAACAGAGTTATACGTAGGTGGTAAATTCCAACACTTTATATAGTTCAGGTGGTTACTAATAAAATTAAAAATTAAAATAGTAATCTTGCACATGCCTAAAATTTCATGTGGTATTTATGCAAATTTACCTTACTCAAATAATACAATTTGGGTAGGCACTAACCAAATAATACAACCGCATCACACAAAAAAGGAAAAACACTAAATAATACAAAACATCTATTACAAGCAATCTCTAACAGCCATTTTTGGTAAGGATGCTTTTATCAAATTTGTTCTTCTATACACGGTCGGTGCCAAATATCATATAAATATTATTGTCATACCAAGATAAAATCATATCTCTAAGACTTTCTTACTCACATGTATCTCAGATCTATTTTTTTTGTTTCGGAAATGATTTATTTTTTGTTTGGTTACTGAGAAAATGAAGAATAATATTTAGTTATATTGAAACTATTACTTATATATGCTGGTTGTACTGCTTTAGAGGTATGCGCCCCACGAGAGCGAAATTTTCCTGCATCCAAAGTTATCTTTTCCGTTTGCTGGAAACTACCTTCTACGGTGGTTTCCAGGTCGTCTTCCGATCTCCTTGGTTCTAAAGAGTTTCCGAATCTCTCTCCACCATGGAAGAGGGCTCTCCGGGTGTTTTCTTGAAGAATTATCGATTAGCAAAGTGGAGTCGAGCCGAATTGGGTCTTCAAAATGCATTTGTCTCCAATGCAATTCCAGATATGATGATGACTCATTATTTGAATTCAGGTCAGAATCTTAACCTTGTGATGGATACCATGGGAATTGCAGGTGTGCAGTCTGTGATTGATGGTGCAAGTTTTAGGGATAAACTCATGAATAAGGTCAATCTGGTGAAAAATATTAGCATTGATGTTAATAGTCTGGATACTGATTATGATGAGTTGAACGATGATGAGGATGTAGTGATTTCTAGAGGGGATAGGGGACCTAGCATTCAGTTTTCTGAGAAGGCTATGTCTTGGCTCTGCAAACCTTGGAAAAATGCCTTGATTGTTAAGCTCCTGAGTAGTTCTCATACTTTCAATTACCTCCATAATAGGTTACAACAGAAATGGAGTTTGAAAGGAGGCTGGAAACTAGTGGATTTGGTGAATGACTATTTTGTTGTTAAGTTTGAGCTTGAGGAAGATCTGGAGTTTGTCCTAACTGGAGGGCCTTGGATAATTACGGGACAATATTTGGTGTTGCAGAAATGGAGGCCTGGGTTTTATCCAGCCACTGCTCATATTACTTGAATGGCTACGTGGATTTGTGTTTCGGCAATCCATTTGGAGTGCTTTGATGTGTGGGCATTGAAGCGAATTGGCAACTTGCTAGGTAAACTGTTAAAGATTGATGCTCTAACCACATCTCATAATAGGGGCCAGTTTGCAAGGATGTGTGTTGAACTGGATCTTACAAAGCCGCTTGAAGCTTTTGTCCAGATTAATCAGGAATGGTATAATATTGAGTACAAGGGCCTACTTGATATTTGTTATTTGTGTGGGAGGTATGGTCACAAGAGAGAGCATTGTGAGAAGAGGAATTTTGTTCCTGCTACTGTGCCTGGGGAGGGACAAAGTTCAGTTGCTGAAGATGTTTTGGGAGGCGATGTTGCTATGAATTGTGAAGACCTTTTGGAAAACTTACGAGGCCCTTGGATGAATGTTCCAGCAAGGAGAATGTAACAACCCGATCCTTAATTAATTTTTAATTATTAATTTATTATAAGAAAAGACAATTATACGCCTAGAATATTTTATTAGAGAAAAAGTTGACCTTTTGACAGGGAAGGAATTTGGAAATTTCAGTAGTAATGTGCGTAGACAGGTCGAGATGAGTCCCTAGACACGTAGTGGCACGATCATAAATATTTCGAAGTTCAGATTTTTTTAAAACCTAGATTGTTTCTCGATTTTTGGGGGGGGGGGGGGGGGGGGGGGGACGGGGCGACGAACCATTTTCAAACTTCGATTTCTCCTCCGTCCACTCACCAAATCGAGTGCCACGACTTGAAATATCTTCGTCTCTCTCTCATATTTCCATAAATATCCATATCCAGCCCTGATTCCAAGTGACTGCACTAGAAAGTTGAGCCAAAAACGAGCCCAAACTGCTGTGCGAAAATCAGTAGCGTTTCTTGGTCTTTTCCGGCCGTTTCCAGCCACCATCTCCGGCAAGTGAGGTAGGGTTTCTCATCTACTTCTCGAGCTCTAGCTGATGGTTGGGTATGATTGGATCAATTTCTAGCGTAGATAACCCAAATCACGAATTGAAATTTGACCGGATTTCGGGATGAGATTCCGGCCACTTCTGCTCGTTTTTCGGGGTATGCCCAAGAACAAAAGTGACTCCAAATGAGGTTTTACACCTAGGGTAGGAATTTTGGCCGGCGGTTTGAAGTATTTCTAGCCGCCAGAATTTGATTTGCACACCCACGCGCTGCCGGCGCTTGGGCAATGTGTTAGGGGCTACATTCTATCCTAAAATGATCCTCGTGATCTCACGAGTGTGTAGGTACTTTCAGATTCCAATTTGGTTAACGTTTGAACCTCGAACGGATCTCGCCTATTGTGCGATTTCCGGGTTCGATTGTTTGAACTGTTGGATTGTGATCAATTTCATATATGTTGATTAAGACAATTCTAGGATCATGTAGGATTCGACTGATCGTGAATCAGAGTCCTGAATACTCTGAAACCGCGAACCCTAGGGCAAGATTAATTGTTGTCATCAGATCATGCGATCATGATCAATCTGATTGTTCGATTTGGACCAGACTTGCAGGGTAGGTTCAGAAGAGTGCGTTGAACCTATAGGGACTTCCGGAACTGTGATCGGAGTTCGTGGGCCCCACGGGCCCGGTTGACCAAATTTAGGCGGTTTGACCCCTCGATTGACTGTGAGTCTTCCAAGGCAGTTATATTCTTTGAGAAGTGTTTAAATGACCGTGTAAACGAGTCCTGACCGAGAATGCGTGATCTGGGTCATGTTATGGATTGAGTATAGATAGTTATTTATAAGGGAGATTCACTAATATACCCAATATGAGAGTCCAAATTATAAAAATACCCTATATGAAATGAACTTTATAAACACACCCAAAACTCATTTACAACATAACAAAGAGGCTTTAACTTCTTATAAATTACAAAACTACCATAAATTTCTTAAAACAAGCCCAACCCCCAAATCTCATAAAAATACCCAAAACACTCAATAGGGCATTAAAGTAATTTAATAATCAATATTAAATTCAATAAGGTCAGCTATCATTTTTGGGGTTTTTTTTGGGTTTGTTTATAGAAATTCAATGATGGAGGGTTTATCTATAATATTAGTGCTAAGAATGGGTATATCACTAAATATCTCTATTTATAAATTGCTAGATTGTGCATATATATATATATATATATTAAGTATAGTTGAGAATCAATTTATCAAAAAATTGATATAAAGGTCGGGAAATGGATTGAAAAATAAAGGGAGAGTATTGATATAAGTTTGGGATATGGTTTTTCAAACCCACCACAAGGGTACCCCCTAGTTGCTTTGAATCAGTGTCATTTATAAATAATGCCCCACTTGTTTCGAGGATGCCTAAATCGTGTGGTACAAGGAATGTGTGTCATGCCCCAACCCACGGATTTACGTAACCTTGGGTTAAGACATGATTCACACATTAATTATAAAATTTAATAAAAACTATAACTAAAATGTGAAGAAAACATTTTAATAAATAAAATAAATATTTCACATAGAATATTCAGCGGAAACGCGGAAATGACAACATCTGAAACCTTAAATTTTTTACATTATTTTACAAGTTAGAACTACTCGAGAGTTCATTAAAGAGTAGCTCATTATTCATCCACAAGCTATAACACATTCTATAGACATGCCAAAATCATCATAAGCTCTAGATTTCAGGTTCGGTACCTGCAAAATCTATTAGGGGGTAAGTGAAACCACAGCTCAGTAGGGACATAAACCTTTTCACGATAAATTGATAAAATTAAATTAAGTGACAAATAATCACGCGACCAAATTTCAGATTATTAATAACAATGCATGAATGCTCTTCATCTAATCCCATTAATTCATGTAACTAGACAAGCAGACCTGCACATCCTATACCATGCTTATACCACTTGGTCCCGAATGTTCATTTATATGAACTAACACCCATTTCAATCATCCCATAATTCCCATTCTGTTAGTCATCTTGTCTAACTCCCTTTCGCTAGTCCCGAATCACCCAATAAAAATCATGTGCACTGTGGGATCCCTAAGACTTGGTACTTGCCAAGAGTTAGACTCAACTACACAAAAGACTATTTCCATTACCCTCTTTTCCACCATTATTTTCTCAACCCTAGAATTCTAGCCAAATTCCATGACATGATATAATTATGCCCTTCACAACAATGTAGACATTTAAAATATCACCAATGCATATATATAATTATGCCCTCATTGTTCAAATAATTAAGAGTACATAAACACCCAATACCAGGAACATAAATCAAATGCTACCATGCATAATATAATGCTCACGAAATTTAATTAAATCAATTTTTGTAAAAGGTCCCCCAAGAAACCCTCTACCTTGTTTCCAAAGCTAGTTTCAAGTTAAGAAAACACAAGCTCCGACCTCTAACTCTTCCAAGATTATTATCACCACACTCTCTTTCTTTTTCTCTCCTAATTCCTCTAGCATTTCTTTCTTGTTTCTTACTCTTATTTCAAACCTGAAAGGTCCTGTTTATACAAGCATAAGTCGGCAACCACAAAGATCCTATTGGATGATTGTTTGGCGGTTTAAAGGAGATATAAATGGAAAACCTTATATAATATAAACTAATATTAATCCTATCACAAAAGTAGATTAAGTAACTAGAAATTTGACACATCAACCCTAAGAAATAAATGATATATGCATGTGCTCCAGCTCAAGGTAAATAGTGGCATGAATTTAACGCCAACTCCCTTATGAAGCCACCTATTGCCAAGCAAAAGATAATTCTAACACCTCATCCAACTAACTCCAACTCATATTAATTTTTACCTGTAGTTGAATGTTTCCATTTCACTATACAAATTGATGCCACATTCTCTAGTTTAAAATAATTATAATTATAAGCTAGGAAGAGAGATATATATATATATTAAACACAGATCTTCACAATCCACCCTTCTTAAATACATATTAAATACATATCGTCGCGCATGATTACTTACCACGACAGTACTGGTTATCGTCGCATAAAGTTAGCAGGAAAAACGCAAGGTTATTTTAATTGGTGCAAAAACCTTGCGTGATGAAACGTATCGTCGCGAAAGAAAACTTAGCACGACAATACGCATTATCATCGCGTAAGGTTTCCAAGGAAAACGCGGGGTGATATTATTTGGCGCCAAACACTTGCGCGATGATACATATCGTCGCGAAAGAATACTTGGCATGACAAAACACGTTATCGTCGTGCAAGAAAACACGGGGCTATTTTATTTGGGGCCAAAAACTTGCGCGACGACAATTATTTGTGCGACGAAGGTTCTCTCATCGCGTAAAGTAGGATGTCGGCACGTACCAGCGAGACAAAAATTGTAATTTGCGCTATGAAAATGTCCTATTGTGCGACGAAAATGAGTTTTTGCACGACAAATGTGAAATTTTGTATGACGAAACCCCCTTTTGTCGCGCAAAATCCTTCGTGAAATATATAATATGTATTCAGCTGTTGCAGAGGCAATTTGCAAAAAAATTTCATATTGCCTCTGCCTCTTCTTCTCTCTCTCTCTCTCTCTCTTTGCTAGGAATTCGTTACTTTCATTGGGTAAGTATTTTTTGACGTTAGTTTAAAAGTATTAATGTAAATTCATACTAATGTCATTGTCTATAGGGATATTATTTGTGATTAGCAATTTGTGGAGAACGATTGAGAATGTATTTTCTTCGTTTTATATTTTAATTACATTATGTTAAACTTTGTTTGTTATGTTTATATTGTTTTGTGAAATTATATTTATATTATGCTGTTAAATTGTACGTGACGTAGCACAATGTGTTGTGATGTACGAAGTTAATTGAAATAACTTTTTTTTTTTTTTTTTTTTGTTAGTTAAACTTAATTTTCCCGTTCCCGAAATTAGTTGGATTTCTTGCATGGATGCGTAAAGCATGATTGCGGTCTAATTAATTCTTGAATTATCCCATTATTTGGACAGTTTGGGAATGCATAGTCATGTCACGTAATTTATGGCTACAGGATTAGGTTTTGATTGTGGAGATTTCGGTGTCATTTCTGTACGTTGTTCGGGTGGTACATAGGTATTTTATATCTACGGTACACCTTAAGAACTGTATTGAGATGCTGCCAAAATTCATCCACGTCGAAATCTAATCTCATGTAGCCGTAAATTACGTGACATGACTATGCATTCCCGAATGGAATAGGGCTCTTACCGGAGGCATAAGGTGACACTATGATTTTGTAAGAATTTGTTGTGATTATTTTGTTGTGATTGCGGTTCCAAGAATTATGAGCAGGAGATGGATACAGAACCCGAATAGATGCGCAAACGAATACTTGGATGGAATCGAGGATTTTATTGACTTTGCACGTACACACAACTTGGGTGCAACTAGAATCCAGTATCCTTGTAGGAGCTGTAACAACACGTTGTGGGAGACAATTGAAAATGTTCGATTTCATTTAGTAAGGAATGGAATGATTGAGACATATAGCACTTGGAACCATCACGGGGACAAGAGTGGACAATGTTGAACCTATTGTGGATCCTAATGAACAAGTCATGGATATTATAAATTATGCTTTTCCATTTGCATCGACCAACATCCATCAGGAAGGAGAAGATGACATGCCTACACCAATGGACAGTGCAGAGTTTGAACAATATGAAAAACCATTAAAAAATGCTAATCAAGAGTTATACTCAGGGTGCGAGAGCTTTTCCATTCTCACGGCCATTGTGGAGCTAATGCACGGAAAAATAAAGTATCGTATATCGAACCTGTCTTTCGATTACTTTTTAGGGGTTTTCAAGAGAATGCTTCCGACAGACAATTGTTTGCCGAAAGACCACAGACACGCACAAAAGGTGTTGAATTGTCTTGGATTGGGTTATGAAAAAATTAACGCTTGCAAAAATAATTGCATGTTATTCTACAAAGAGTATGAAACATTGGATACATGCCCTATATGCAATGAGTCAAGGTTCAAAATGACATATCAGAATAGAATGACTAAGATCCCACAAAAAATCATGCGTTATATGCCCCTGAAACCTAGGTTGCAGCGATTGTATATGTTGACGCATACTGCCACATACATGAGATGACATAAAGAAAAACGGGTAGACGACGATGTGATGCAGCATCCTGCAGATGGGGAGACATGGAAAGAGTTCAATCGAATGTTCCCCGAGTTTGCTGATGACGGATTTAATCCATACAGGGTTCTAAACCAACACCACAACACTTGGCCGATTTTCGTATTCCCATATAATTTGCCGCCTTGGAAATGCATAAAAAAAGAATACATGATGATGACTGTTTTGATAACTGAGGATCCTGGCAGGTCAATCGATGTTTACTTAAGGCCGTTGGTTGATGAACTCAAGGATTTATGGATAAACGGTGTGCGCATCTATTTTGAATCCACTCGGAAGATGTTCACTTTGTGGGTAGCAGTTATGTGGACTGTGAATGATTTTCCCGCATATGCAATGGTTTTTGAGTGGAGCACAAAGGGTTATATGGCATGCCTTGTATGCAAGGAAGATGTAACTTCTAGTTGGCACGTTGAAAAATTTTGTTACCTTGTTCATCGAACATGGTTGCCATGGGACCACGAGTGGCGGGAAAAGGATAAAGAGTTCGACGGGAACACAGAGCGTCGCCTAGAGAGTGGTCCGGTGATGAGATCTTGGAACAACTTAACCGCTTGGATTTTGTTCCGTTCAGGAAAACAGTTAGTAGGACTAGACCTTCTACACATTTGAACTGGACGCACAAGCCTATGTTTTTTGAGCTCCCATATTGGTCAAAACTAAAATTGAGGCACAATCACGACGTTATGCATGTTGAGAAAAATGTCTTTGACACATTGATGGGCACGATTCTAGATATCAAGGGCAAGACAAAGGACACGATCAAAGCTCGTCTTCATTTAGAAAGAATGGGCATACGAAGAGGTTTATGGATGAACAAGGACAGTGATAAAGCTAGAAGGGATCTCACATTTTTTTTCCATGAAACCGAATGAAAAAAAAGATTTTCTAAAGTTTGTATCGTCAGTAAAGTTTCCCGATGGGTATGCTTCTAATATCGCGCGTCGCGTGAATGTTGACGGGGGTAAATTTGCTGGACTAAAAAGCCATGACTGCCATGTGTTTATACAACGCCTACTTCCTATGGGTATTCGACACCTATTGCCAGAAGATGTAGTGAAACCAATCATGTTGTTGTCCAGATTTTTTTCCCAACTGATGGCAAAAACACTGCGAAAGACAGACATTAATCATTGTGCCATGATATTGTCCAAGTCCTATGCAAGTTTGAGATGATATTCACTCTAGCTTTCTTCATAAGTATGATCCACGTGATGGTTCACTTGCCAGAAGAGGCATTACTTGTTGGTCCTGTCAACTATCACTGGATGTATCCAATAGAAAGGTATATAATCCTCATCATTTGTTTATGCATCTTTATCCCACGGTTGCTAATTTGTATCGTATCGTTTTATTTTGGCAGGCTTCTCGGAGAACTTAAAAAAATGTACGCAACAGGGGGAAGCCCGAAGGATCAATTATAGAGGCTTGGGTTCAATATGAGTCGCTTGCTTTCTGTGGAATGTATTTAAAAGATGTGGAGACGGCTTTCAATCGTCCTCAACGCAATAATGACGGAGGTGTGAGAAATGAGAAACTTTTTGTTTTTGCCCCAAAGCGCACGACCCTTTGGAAATCCTGCACGAGGAGAGTCATACTGAACAATTGTGTTAAGATAATGGCATACTTAGATGAGCATGAATATATGATGAAGCGAGAACATCCATCACATTTGTATGCCAAGAAATACCGTGAATTGTTTCCACAATGGTTTTTGGAATATGTAAGTTATAAGTGTTTTGTATTTGACATATATATTGCAGTATTTAATTTTCTCAAACTTACATGTGATTGTTTTTGTATAATATTAGGTGAACAAGTTGAAATCATCGAATTCCCCCACTTACAGTCAAGAGTTATATAACTTGGCGTTCGGCCCGATTCGCGCTGAATTGTTCTCGGGTTGTCATGTTAATGGCGTCAAGTTTTTAGGGACTACATAAGATGACAAGTTGTGTACACAAAACAGCGGTGTCCATGTCCCAAGTGGAGGTGAAAGTACAGACATTGATTTCTATGGCAAACTCACAATTGTTGTACAATTGCTTTACAAAGACCGATACCAAGTGATAATGTTTAAGTGTCGATGGTTTGATTCAAACCCAAATAGGTAGGGAAGAGTTAAAATCTACCATGGCTTACTATATGTGAACATTAACAGAACTTGGTATTATGACGGCCCTTACATTTTGGCAAACATTTATTATGTATCTAGATGACCCTAAAGCCAGGAGCGGTTGGAAAGTTATTCAGAGAAACGTGTATGGTATACCAGAACTAGACCCAACTAACAACGACGTCGACAACGTCGCTGCCCAACGTTTAGAATCTTCAATGAAAAATGATGCGGAAACACTTCAATATACAAATGTTATACAAGAACCGTTTCAGATACAAGGAGTGTCTTCAATTGAAATACCGATTCAGTCAATTACAATTGACCTCGGTGATCTTCCGCAATACGATGTTGCAGTGGGCCCGAATAATGACGATGATGTAGTTATAGAGGAGGAGGATTGGGAGACCGAAAGTGATGATAGTGACGATAACGAAAGTTATTATAGTTCAGATAATGAATAATGAAATTCATTTTGACTTGCCATGTAAAACATTGTAAATGAAATTTTTTGTAATATAATTATGTTAGCGTAAAGATTTTGGCAAATATGCTATTTTGAATATATGTACTTGTTATATCCAAACCTTATGTATGTGGAGAAATGAAACATTGTTAAATAAATTGAGCTATAAAAGAAAATGAGAAATGAAAATAAATTGAGCTATAAAACATTGTTAAATAAATATATCTAAACCATTTGTGTAATACTTTTGAAAATTGTTTTTAGAGAACATTTTCAAAAAAGGAAAATGAAACAAACATTAACATTCCCTTATCAAAATAAAAGGAAAAAAAAATGAAAATAAGAAACAAACTTAATATTTATTTGGCGCCAAATACTTGCATGACGACTTTACTCTCGTCGCGTATAGTTGTAATTTTGCGCGACGACTTCATTCTCGTCACATAAAGTTGCAACTTTGCATGACCACTTTATTTATTGTCGCATAAGGTTGTAATTTGCACGACGACTACAGTTCTCGTCACGTAAGGTTGTAATTTTGCGCGACGACATTTTATCGTCGCGTCAATATATGTATATTATAATATAATATATATATACACATATTTTATAATATATAATATACATATATATTATATTATAATATACATATATATTATATTATAATATACATATATATTATATTATAATATACATATATTATATTATAATATACATATATACATGTATATACATGTATATAATATATATAGGTGTATCTATATATTATAATATATACATGGGTATAATACATATATATATATATAGATAATATATATGGGTATGTTATAATAATATACATGTATGATATTATTATAATATTAATATGTATATGTGTATATGGATATATTATAATAATATACGTGTATATATCTATATGTATGTATTTATATATATTATGTGCATATACGTGTATATAAGTACATTATAGTATATGTGTATGTAATAATAATAATAATAATAATAATAATAATAATAATATATGTGTAGTATATGTATATGTGTAACATATGTATATATATATGTGTAATATATGTGTAGTATATCTGTATATATAGTATACATGTGTAGAATATGTATATATATATAGTATATGTGTAGTATATGTATATATATATATATATATATCCACTACAAAGTATTAGAACTATGATTCATACTTAATAGTTAGACCTCGTGGCCGGACTTCGAAATTTTTATTTTTTTTAAAAGAGTTAGAGGTTATAAATAGAAAGATTATTATTATTTTTTTCAAACTAACACTTTCGTTTAGGCTTCTTTTGATCTAAGGACAAAGGTTTCTTTGGATTTTTGGTTGTTATATCTATTCATTGAATAAGTGATGATCCAACGGTTCATACTCAGGGAATTTTGGTACATAGTTTGAAAGGGTTTTAATCATTCTTAACAAGATAATCATTCTTTAAAATTAAAAAAACCTTTGCGCGATGCCAATAAATCATACGTCGCACAAAGTGTTGAGGGACGCATCATTTCGTTGCGTAACCTAACTTTGAGCGACACCAAGTTTTCCAGCGTCGCGCAACATAACTTTGAGCAACGCCTAGGCATCCTACGTCGCACATTGTTCTAATTTTTTAGGGTTTAGGGTTTGCGCAACGCCATCACATTTTTATGTCCCGCAAGTTGGCAAAAATTTTGGTAGAATTATTACCTTGGGTGACGGTTTACTTTCGTCGTTGCCCAAGTTGGCGAAAATTTTGGCTGAATTAATACCTTGCGTGACATCAATGTTTTTTTATGTCGCACAATCTGTCCTTACGCAACATCAAAGTACAGACCCCTCACTTCCTCTCTTTCCTTCGACCCTCAGCTCTCTTTCGACGCCGCCTCCTCCCGACACTCCCTCCCTCCATAACCACCACATCCATCCACCTCAACCCACGAAACCGACGTAGGACCCGGCCTCCCCTACCTCTCAGTTCCTTTCTCTCCTTCGACCCTTCCCCTTCCCGATACTCCGTCCCTCCATAACCACCACATTCAACCACCTCAACCCACGACAATGACATAAGAAGGACTAGGCCGCCACCACCTTTGAACCCGAATCCTTTCCCCGCCATCACCGTCACGTCTGCCGCCGAAAATTGCCCGGAATTGGGCCGGTTTTGACAAATTTTCATCTCGTTCTCTCTCCTCCGGCCACCAAACCGGACGTGTCATGTATGGTTTCTCGACTATTTTTCGTGCTCTAGCTAATGGTTGGGTAGGATTTGATCAATTTCTAGTTTTGGTATCTCAATTTTTAACCCTAAGTTTGGCCAGTTTTTGAATTGAAATTCTAGCAACTTTCGGCCATTTTTCGGGGGAGGTCTAAGAACAAAAGTGGCTCCAATTGAGGTTCTGAACCTAGGGTAGGAAGGTTGGCCTTTAATTTTGATAATTTTCCAGCGATCGTTATCGCTTTGGACACCCACAACCTGCCGGCGTGTGGGTACTGTAACAGAGAGGCATTGTGTCCCAATACAATCCCCTAGTTGTCACGAGCGCGTAGGTGTGTTCAGATTTCAATACCGTTTGCTTCTCAAACGGATTTCGCCTATTGTTCGATTTCAGGGTTTGATATGTTTGGACCGTTGGATCGAACTCAAACTGATGTATGTTGTCCCTTGTATTTCAAGGATCGTATAGGATTCGATGGATCGTGGATCGGAGTCCCGGATACTCCGAAACCCTAGGGCAAGATATGCTTTAATTAGTTAGTTAAGATTCTTAACGAAATTGTATATGCTTAGATTATATCTTGGTAAATTGGATTAATTTTTATGTTTATTAATTAATTAAGATTCTTATATATTTTTGTTTTATTAGTTGTTGGGATTTTTATTTTTATTTTATTAGACGTTGGCCCCATTTAAAAAAAATTAAATAAATGTTCAATTATGCAGATGTCAAACCTTATTAGAAGTCGTAAGGCGGTGACGACTGCACAAAGTTCGCCTCTCCCGGCTCAGCCGTCCGTTGCCACTGCTCTAGCACAAATGGACCACTTGCCGGTTGGTCCAGGGTCTCCCATGCGCTGGCGTCATCAACATCATCAGTGGCGCAACCTATTAGCGCCAGGCATCATCACCGCCCCACTAGCACCATCGACACAACATCAACAGACGCTACTGGTGCATTGGGGCCATAACCAGGTAAAGATTTCCTTGAACTCTAGCTGTTTTGGACCAATATTTTAGTACGATTTGTTATTTAACGTTAATTTTATATTTCTTTGCAACCAAGATGAACACACAGGGACCTTGTCACTAGTTAAAGACGGCGAAGGTCACCCGGGTGACCAACAGTCGTATCAACATTGGATACAACAAGTGGCATTGGGCTGCACCAACGGCGGAATTGCATAGCTCATTGGCCCATGACATTGGTCACGTTGTTCGGACCCATTGCCCGATAAAATGGAAGTCTTGGAAGGTCATGCCTGAGGAGATGAGGATGGAGGTGTGCAGGTAGTTGTCGGTATGTATCCTACCTTTTAATTGTTTTTCCTTCAAACTTTATATATTTTTATTACTTAATGTATGTAATTAATTTATTGCAAATGAACTACAATTTAGAGGACCTCGACGACGAGTCATTGGCGTACGTCAATAGACTCTTTGCTGAGAGGTACAAGCAGTGGAAGAGCGACTTGCACCACCATTTTCAGGCATTTGATGATCCGCAGGTCGCCCTTCAGGAGGGTTGCCCGAAGAAGCTTGAGGGGCGGGAGGATAGTTGGGTGTGGCTTTGCGGTCATTTTCAGGCGCCCGATTATTACATGTTTCTTATTAATGTTTATTTAATTTTTTATATTTCATTTCAATTTCAACTAATACGTTTATTTTTTGTATAACAGAATAAGGCCAAAGTAAATAAGGGCAATAGAAACAAGAAGACTCTTCTCCACCATTCAGGTTCCAGGCCCTTCTCATATAGGATGGACGCGCGGCAGTGGATAATAATAAAATTGTTTATATTCAATTTTTAATATGTCATTAATATTAATTAGTTTTTTTCGAACTAATATTTTTCTTCTCTTGTTTAATTTAGGGGGGGTCCAAATTCCCGGAGATCGACGTCTTTGGCGACGTTTATGTTCAACCTGGGAATGAGTTGGCCGAGTTCCTTCATGTAAGTATTCTTTGATTTTAATTATTATCTTACGCATTCAAGTTTCATGTTTATTATATGAATGTTTTAATTAATATTTTATGTTATGTTAAACAGACGACGATGATGGAGAAGAGCCAGTTGGTTCTTCAAGAGTCCGCCTCCTAACTTCCTCCTGATACTCCGCTCGAGTCTGTGGATCCTCCACAGGATGCGGGGTTTCAGATCTTGACAGAGACCTTGGATCAGACTCTCGGGAGGAGGCCAGGGACATATTTTCGAGGGATGGGGAATGCCCGGTGGCAAGAACCTAGACCCCGTTCATCGTCGCAGTCAAATGAGGTGACTGCTTTGACAACAACGGTGGCCGAGCTTAAGGGTCAGATGTCTGTGCTTCTAGAGTTCCTCGTTCGGTTTGGCATTCCAATCCCGCATTTTGGTCCCTCGTCTACCTTCGAGCCCCTCCAACTCGAGCATGGCCACCAGACCTCTGCCCTTGTCGACATTGTCTAGACCTCCGAGCCTTATTTGCCAGACGACCAAGTAGATTTTGGAACCTTGTTTGATTAGTTTTTTACTTTCTTAATTACATTTTAAACATTTCTCTTGTACTATACATTTATATTATTTTATAAATAAAAAATTTCTCTTCATTACATTTTTTTTATTGCAATTTCATTTTATTACAACAACAAAAAAATTTTAAAAAAAATGAAATATTTTATTTTATTTTTGCGTGACGAAACTCTTTTTGTCGTGCCAGTTCACGTTTTTACAAAATACAAAAACATAAAACTAAATTTTTTTAAAAATATTTTATTTTTGGGCGACAAAATGTTTCGTCTCGAGAAAAATAAATGCGCGACTAAGACAATTTCGTCGCGCAACAAAAGTCGTAGCGCAAATATTTGCGACACGAAAAATTCTCTCGTCCCTACATTTCTGCGCATGAATATAATCTGTCGTGCTGTGTACTCGCAACGAATGAGCTGTCGTGGCGCAAAGGTTTGAGAGACAAACAATTGTGTTGTCCCTAAATTTTTGTGCACCTAAGGTTAACCGTCGCTCAATTTTTCGTGACCAATGAAACAACTTGGTCACACAAAGTATTTCTTCATGATCTTTGCGCGACAAAGTTTATGTCGCGCTGAAATTTGTGTGACTCAAATGTACCTTGCACGACCAAATTCTCTTCGTCGCACAAATTGTAAAATGTAGTAGTGTGGTTGGAGAATTCATAACAAGGATCAAGGACTATGGGTCAAGATGTTTGAAGATAAATATTTAAAAGGCCAATCCATTCTTAATCCTTCCCTTCCATGCAAGAAGGATGGCTCTTTTACTTGGAAAGGTATTATGTATGGTGCCCAGCTTCTTAGACATGGTATGAGTTGGAGGTTTGGTCAGGGTGATAATGTTTTGTTTTGGGAGGATCACTGGCTCCATGAGGGTCCTTTGCTGCACCAAGAAGGTGTGCTAAATGTTGTTGACTATGATTGTACAGTTGATAGCTTTTTTTTAAAACAGATGGTGGGATATTTATAAATTGAGAGGTGTAGTGACTGAAGAAATTGTACAAAAGATTATTAATTCAAGAGGGCTGCTATTTCCACCCCCTTGTCCTATTTCCCTACTCACCTTATCTTCCTACCCACCATATAAATTTGAATAAACACAAACCTATCTTTCCACCCACCATTATTCCTAAAATACCCTTTAATTGTATTTCCATATTTGCTATTACAATAAATATATATATATGAAAAAACAATAATAAAAAATTGTTCAATTAGCCTATCCCCACCCAAATCACCCTCTCCCTCCCCCTCCTCCCTACCCCAACCTTCTGCTCTGGCGAAAACCCAACAATCAACACCATGACGTTACAAACATTTAACTCTCCTTTTTCAACCAAAGAAAAATTCTCCTTCTACTGCTAACCAAAAAAACACTCCCCTTCACCCATAAAATAATAATAATAATAATAATAATAAAATTATTATAATAAAAAAAATCGTATTGATTGCTTTATCTATTCCAGAAAATGAAAACACATTTACTTTATTTTATTTTTAATTTCAGAGACTGCAAAGAGGTGTTATTTGAGTTTGGAATTCAAAGGAAACAAAGAGACAAAGGAAGAAAAGGAAATGGCCATGGGTTTCTGTCAGTTTTAGAGCTGCCCAAAAGCTCAAGGTCGATGTAATTATGGGACTACTTGAGCTTCAGAGTTAGAGAAGAAAGAAAAACAATTGAATTATGTGTACTGAAAATAAAATTGGGGTTATGAGTTTGTAAGTTTAGATTTTCTTTTGGTTCCTAATTTCTGAAGAACACAAGGAGAGAGCTGTTGACTTCGTTTTGTTTGGTGGGTTGGGTATGAAATGGGTGTGGATTTCGAACAAAAAGAAAAAGAAAAAGAAAATATGGGTGTGGGTGCGTGTGAGTGAGACTAAGAGAGTTGTCCTCATAAGTCATTTTATAAAGGGGTAAATTTGTCTTCAAAATTTTGAAAATAAGGTGGGTGAGAAAATAAGACAAGTGGGTGAGAAAATAAGACAAGTGGGTGAGAAATAGTAGCACTCTAATTCAAAAGTTTAGTTTTAGTGGGATTAATACATTATTAATATTTGTAGGAGACAGTAGATAGATAATTGGAGAAAAAAAAATTGCGTTTATTAAACCAATGGGTAACAGTAATTAATCATAGTTAAACCAATGGGTGACAGTAACAGTTTCACAACAATTTGTCATTATTGAGTTTCAAACTTGATAACTAGGAGGATACAATGCATGGTTTTTATTAACGTACGTAAAAACCAATAGCTAGCTAGGATCTCCTATGTCATGGGCACAGCTATTAGAGGCTGAGCCTTCTCTAAAGTGAGGCCAAACTTGTCTTCCATGTTCATGGTCTCTGGTGCAACCCCATCTTCAAGCTTCCAGTTATCAAAGCAGTTAAGAAGTGACCCCAACATCAAGTTCAGCATTCTCATTGCCAATGGCAACCCAGGACAAATTCTCCGTCCACTACCAAACGGGATAATCAAAGTTCCTCCCTGTAACATCCTTGTCCAATCCCAAGAACCTCTCTGGCATGAACGAGTTCGGGTTGTCCCAGATGCTGGGGTCTCTGCCTATGGCCCATGCATTGACCAAAACTTGTGCACCCTTTGGTACAATGTACCGCAGATTTCTACATCTGCTTCAGCCTTGCGAGGAATTAGCAATGGAGCTGCTGGGTGCAAGCGAAAGGTCTCTTTGATTATGGCATGTAACTAAGGGAGCCGAGTGATGTCTGATTCCTCCACTGGTTTTCCTTTGCCAATGATGTGCTTCAGCTCCTCTTGAGCTTTTGACAGTTTTTCGGGGTTGTGTAGTAGCTCAGTCATTGCCCATTCTAATGTGGTTGAAGTTGTATCTGTGGCAGCAGCAAATAGATCCTATAATAATTGATCAAATTGATTAATTAGTAGGAATAAATACTTATACCATATCAATTCAACATCTGATCTACCATTTTCGTGGTAAACTCGACCTCCGATTGAGACAGTAGCAAATGAAATAATCAATTTAGATGGTACAAATAGCAATTAACAAAACGAAAACAAAAGCGAAAATGTATAGTAGTCATAATTAATTTTGAAATCTAAGCAATTTATACATATATACACGAGTAGTTAGTAACTTAGTATCAATTGAAACGAAGTTATCAAGATTAAAGAACAAGAGAGCTACAGTATATATAGATAGCCACTAACCAGGAACAAATGTTGACTTTCAACTGATGACTGTATATGTCTAGTCAGCATATTAGCTGTAGCTGTAGATCACATGCATATCTTGTGGTCAGTTAGGAGTTGTTAAGCAATTGTATAAAGAGATTGTGTGTACGGTAATTGTTCATTAAGCAAATACAAACAGTAAAGATCTCTTAGAAATCACTGTGTTCTCTCTCTAGCTTTCTTCTTCCTTATCTTTCTCTGCAAATTTCATTTTCATTATCATGGTATCAAGAGCCTAGTTCGATATGTGTCTTCGTCATCTTTCTTCAACGAATTTTCTTCTCAAAATTGACAAATTTTGTTTCAGAAAACCGTAGATTTCTGCCATGGCTGCTTCTTCATCATCTTCTCTCAAAATTGAACAACTCCTTGGATTGCTTACTATTCGTCTTACTAATGATACTTTTCATAAGTGGAATTATCAAATTGAGTCGCTTCTGGAAGGTTACAACCTCTTTGGCCATTTTGATGGCTCTACTCTTCCTCTGCCTAAATCTACAATTGTTGATGAAGAGGGAGTGACATCGGAAGTCACTACTGCGTATAAGGATTGGATGTGCACTGATAAAGCTCTTCTCAGTCTTCTCATTGCTTCTCTCTCTGATGAAGCAATTGAGTATGTTATTGGCTGTAAGACTGCTAGGGATGCTTGGCTTAGTCTCATCGATCGTTATGCGTCGGTTTCTCGTGCCAGAATCAATCATTTGAAAATTGAATTTCAGACTGTGCAAAAAGGTGGAGATTCCGTTGAGCGATTTCTTCTTCGTCTCAAGCATCTGCGTGATCAGTTACATGATGCTGGTACTAAGATTTCTGATGATGACTTTATCATTGCTGCATTAAATGGTTTACCACCTGAATATGACATCATCAAAACGATCTTGATTGCTCGCGATACGCCAATCTCGTTGAAAGATTTTCGTGCTCAGTTACTGGCTGCTAAGCAAACTGCTGAGGCTTGACTTACCTCTCATTATGCTATGTTTGTGCCTCATACATCTTCTAGCTATGGGGTTCAAGGATCTCACAGTGGTTCATTGTCTGGCTGTATGTCTTCAGGACATGGTTTGCTTCCTACCCCGACTTCTCATGTTGGTTATTCTGGTAATGCATCTTCTCGACCTCTTTCTCTGTCTTTTGGTCCTCGCCCTGTTTCTCATAATGGTTTTCGTCGAGGCAAGTTCAATGGTGGAAGCAATTTTAGCTCTCCAACTCATCCAAATTTCAGAGGCATTACTCCTGATTATCGAGGCCACAACACATTTTTTGGTTCCAAGTTTATTCCTGAATGTCAGATTTGTAATAAAAGGGGTCATACGGCTATTAACTGTTTCTATAGGCATTCCAATTCTCAATCTTCCGTTTCTACAGTGCCTTAGTGCCAAATCTGTGGCAAGCGTGAGCATGGTGCTTTGGATTGTTATCACAGGTCGAATTACTCATTTCAAGGTCAAGCTCCTCCTTCTTCCTTAACTGCTATGACATCACAGACTTTTTATTCTCCTGAACAAGTATGGATTGCTGATAGTGGAGCCACACATCATATGGTGGGTGATGTGTCTCAGTTGCAACATGTGACTCCATGTGTTACTGAGGAAAATGTCACAGTTGGAAATGGGTAAGGTCTGAATATCCTTCATATCGGAACTTCTAATCTTTCTTGTGCCACATCTAGGCTTACAATGCCCTATGTTTTTCATGTTCCTAAACTCAAAGCAAATCTTTTGTCAGTGCACCAACATTGTAAGGATAACAACTGCTATATTGTGTTTGATGTGTCTGGTTTCTTAATACAGGACAAAGTCACTCATCAGGTGCTTCTTAAGGGAAAGAGTGATCATGGCTTATATCCTATTCCACTGCTTCCTCAGTCTACAATATCTTCAATTTCTTCAATAAAGCTTACATTGGCCAGCAAATAAAGTCCTCCCTGTGGCATTAGAGGTTAGGACATACCACTAATGAGGTTAGAAAGAAAATGTTGCAAGCTTCTGCTATTTCTGCTTCTGATGATCTTTCTTCAGCTTCAACATGTTTACAAGGCAAAATGCATTGGTTGTCTTTTCCTAGTAGTCATTCTAGAGCTACTATGCCATTTCAATATATCCATAGTGATGTATGGGGTCCCTCTGCTCTAAAATCCATTGATGACTATTGATATTATGTCAATTTTGTTGATGAATGTACTGGTTTTATGTGGCTATATCCCATTTTTAATAAATAAGATGTTTTTGGAGTTTTCAAGAAGTTTTATGCTATGCTCACAAATCAGTACGATGCTAAAGTTAAGATATTTCAAACTAATGGAGGGGGTGAGTTTACTAGCACATTGTTCACTGCCTTTCTTGATTCTAAAGGCTTTATTCATCACTTGTCTTGCCCTCACACTGCTCAACAGAATGGGCTGGCTAAAAGAAAGAATCGCCATGTTATTGACACAGCCATAACTCTTTTATTTGCTGCTTCACTTCCTACAAAGTTTTGGGTTCATTCTATTGCTCATGCTGTTTATCTAATAAATAGAATGCCGAATGAGGTTTTGAATCATCAATCTCCATTCCTTAAGTTGTTTGGTCACACTACTACAAAAAAGGCAAAAGACGACGGGAATTCACCGTCGTGTATTCGGTTTTCAAACCGTCGTGAAATCGACCAACATCTATTTGGGTGTCAAACTACGACGGCTTTTCACCGTCGTTGTTTATCTGTAATCAGTGGCGGAGGTAGGATTCTTAGTATGGAGGGGCCAAAATTTCAAAATCACTTATACTAGGTTTTTCATCTTCAACTGGGAGGGCCATCACTAATCTAATTACAGTAATTGTATTGCTATATCATATATTTTATAATATATTACAAGAGATTAATAATTAGGGAGTTTCACTAAAACACCCAAAATGGGGGCTGAAATTATAAAAAAACCCAACACCCAAAACACTTTATAAACACACCCAAAACCCATCATTACACACACTCAAAACCCATTTATAAACACACCCAAAAAATATACAATTATTGATTTTGAGGTTGATTTTGGGTGTGTTTCTATGTTTAAATAGTGCTTGGGTTTTTTTATAAATACATGTATAGGATTGGGTTTATTTATAAATGGGGGCCAGGGCCATGGCAGGCCTGGCTATAGCTCTGCCCCTGTCTGTAACGACGACGGTTTTTAAAGAAAATCGTCGTTATTTAGAGGTAAAGATCGTTAATTATAGGAGAAAAGACAACTATTTTTAATAAAATCGTCATCTTTACTTAACAATAAACGACCCTTTTTAAAAAAAACCGTCATCTTTACATATAATAGACGACCTTTTTAAAAAAAAACCGTCATCTTTACTTCATAATAGAAGACGGTTTTTATAAAAAGCGTCATCTTTACATATAATAGACGATGGTTTTTATAAAAAGCGTCATCTTTACATATAATAGACGACGGTTTGTATAAAAATCGTCATCTTTACATATAATAAACGACAGTTTTTATTATAAAAAGCATCATCTTTACATATAATAGACGACGGTTTTTATAAAAAGCGTCATCTTTACATATAATAGATGACGGTTTGTATAAAAATCGTCATCTTTACATATAATAGACGACGGTTTTTTTATAACACGACCCTTTTTATAAAAATCGTCATCTTTACCTATAATAGACGACCCTTTTTTTATAAAAACCGTCGTTAATTATCTATAAAGACCATGATTTATTATAAAAACCGTCGTCTAATAAGTTTCCAAACTGCTACATTTTAGTTCTTTTTTATTTCCTATGATGCTATACAACGATTTTAACTAGAAAACCAACCATAATGCTTTATTAATGAATATATACACTCAAAAATAGTTTCTTTCATAAAACTTGAAGATTCAATAGTTATTACATAGTTAACCAATCTTTATTCTACAACAAACATAATTCCTAACAAGACCTACGTACTCCTAATCCAAGCATTCCTCATCCAAACATACAAATGATGCACAACTGAAGTCTCCTCCATCATCCCTGTAAATAAATCAAAATGACAAAGAGAGAGAAAAAAAAAGAAGCTAAGATTATAAACATAAAAAATTAGGTGGAAGAGAAATTTTACCATTGGTCCATATTTCCATTGAAAACTTGTAAAATGAGCATAAAAAATACCATCGAGAACCTGCAAATTTTCAACAACAAAAAAACATACGACTCACATAGAAAACCTGCAAAAGAAAAAGTTATAAATCTGCAAGCTTCCTCCTCATCTCCTGATAACCAACCATCAAACTAAAAGAAACCAGAAATATAAAAAAATATGTAAACAAACCAAACAAATCAAGAGAGACAAAATCTGAAATTAGGGAGACAAAGAACATACCAAAAACGCAAAGAGACTAATCCAGAATTCACTAGCAAGATATAGAAGGGTATTAAGACATTAGGTGACTTTCAAATCAAACCTTTCAACCAGCTTTGATTCTCAAATACAGAACATCCCTCTACATCTTATGGATCTGCGAAGACCTCAATCTCTCAACTCCTTCATTGATATCGATTTTTTGACGATTTTGTAGAGAGTTTCATTAGGGTGTTTTAGAGAGTGCATGAGGGTTTCAAGATGGGAGAGATAAGATTTTCAAAGACGGGGGAAAATCTGAAAATTTGTTAAGCGCGAATTCACTTAAGTAGCCTTTTTTTAGCGTGTTTTAAAAGACGACGCTTGTTAATGAGAGATAAGATTTTCAAAGACGGGTGAAAATTTGAAAATTTGTCGAGCGCGAATTCACTTAAGCGGCCATTTTTTAGCATGTTTCAAAAGACGACGCTTTTTTTAAAAAAAAATTGTCATCTTTACATATAATAGACGACGGTTTTTATAAAAAGCGTCATCTTTACATATAATAGAAGACGGTTGTTTTATAAAAAAACAGTCATCTTTACATATAATAGACGACGGTTTTTATAAAAAGTGTCATCTTTACATATAATAGATGACGGTTTGTATAAAAATCGTCATCTTTACATATAATAAACGACGGTTTTTATAAAAAGCGTCATCTTTATATATAATAGACAACGATTTTTTTTACAAAAAGCGTCATCTTTACTTCATAATAGACGACCCTTTTTTAAACAAACCATTATCTTTACATATAATAGATGATACTAGTGGATACCACAAAATCTTATGTTATATTTCACGAAAGTATAAATAAACTCTTAATTGTTAGTGAATATATTGTTTTGATGGCATACGCATTTTAAGAAACTAGTTTAAACGATCCAACCGTCAAACTTGTTTGTTTATACTTCGAGATCATATACGCCAAAAATCAGAAAAAATAAACATTCAGAGATCAAGTAACGGGAAAAAAAAATTTCACGGTTATAAATGAAAAATCATAATTGAACGGTTATTTTAACTTTGATTTTGATGATTTTTTACTGCTACACTCCTTGACCCTATATGAATACAATGACTGAATTTGATCTTCAATTTAAAATATTTACACTATTGGATACCACAAAATCTTATGTTATATTTAACGAAAGTATAAATAAACTCTTAATTGTTAGTGAATATTTTTTTTTTGATGGCATATGCATTTTAAGAAACTAGTTTCAACGATCCAACCATCAAACATGTTTGTTTATACTTCGAGATCATATACGCCAAAAATCGAAAAAAATAAACATTCAGAGATCAAGTAACGGGACAAAAAATTTCGACGGTTATAAATGAAAAATCATGATTTAACAGTTATTTTAACTCCAATTTTGATGATTTTTTGCCACTACACTCCTTGACCCTATATGAATACAATGATTGAATTTGATCTTCAATTTAAAATATTTACACTAGTGGATACCACAAAATCTTATGTTATATTTCACGAAAGTATAAATAAACTCTTAATTGTTAGTGAATATATTGTTTTGACGGCATACGCATGTTAAGAAACTAGTTTAAACGATCCAACCGTCAAACTTGTTTGTTTATACTTTGAGATCATATAAGCCAAAAATCAGAAAAAGTAAACATTCAGAGATCAAGTAACGGGACAAAAAATTTCGACAGTTATAAATGAAAAATCATAATTTAACGGTTATTTTAACTCTGATTTTGATGATTTTTTACTGCTACACTCCTTGACCCTATATGAATACAATGACTGAATTTGATCTTCAATTTAAAATATTTACACTATTGGATACCACAAAATCTTATGTTATATTTAACGAAAGTATAAATAAACTCTTAATTGTTAGTGAATATATTATTTTGATGGCATATGCATTTTAAGAAACTAGTTTCAACGATCCAACCGTCAAACTTGTTTGTTTATACTTCGAGATCATATACGCCAAAAATAAAAAAAAATAAACATTTGGAGATCACGTAATGGGACAAAAAATTTCGACGGTTATAAATGAAAAATCATTATTTAACAGTTATTTTAACTCTGATTTTGATGATTTTTTACCGCTACACTCCTTGACCCTATATGAATACAATGACTGAATTTGATCTTCAATTTAAAATATTTACACTAGTGGATACCACAAAATCTTATGTTATATTGAACGAAAGTATAAATAAACTCTTAATTGTTAGTGAATATATTGTTTTGATGGCATACGCATTCTAAGAAACTAGTTTCAACGATCCAACCGTCAAACTTGTTTGTTTATACTTCGAGATCATATACACCAAAAATAAAATAAAAATAAACATTCAGAGATCAAGTAACGGGACAAAAAATTTCGACGGTTATAAATGAAAAATCATGATTTAATGGTTATTTTAACAAACCATCATCTTTACATATAATAGACGACCCTTTTTTTATAAAAAGCGTCATTTTTACATATAATAGACGACCCTTTTTTTTATAAAAAACGTCATCTTTATATATAATAGACGACCATTTTTTTTTAAAAACCGTCATCTTTACTTCATAATAGACGACGGTTTTATAAAAGCGTCATCTTTACATATAATAGATGACGATTTGTATAAAAAGCGTCATCTTTACATATAATAGACGACAGTTTGTATAAAAGTCATCATCTTTACATATAATAGACGACGTTTTTTATTATAAAAAGCGTCATCTTTACATATAATAGACGACGGTTTGTATAAAAATCGTCATCTTTACATATAATAGACGACCTATTTGTAAAATAATCATCATCTTTACTTCATAATAGACGACCCTTTCTTAAACAAATCATCATCTTTACATAAAATAGACGACCCTTTTTTAAACAAACCATCATCTTTACATATAATAGACGACCAATTAAAAAAAAAACGGTCATCTTTACTTCATAATAGACGACCCTTTTTAAAAAAAAACCGTCATCTTTACATATAATAGACGACAGTTGTTTCAAAACAACCATGTCTTTACCAAAAAAAGGACACTTGATTTTTAAAAGACGACGCTTGTCATACCTGCTGTCGTTGTTTTTTGGTCAGATTTTAACTCTGAAGAAAACCTTTTTAATAAGAAGACGCTTTTTTATTTGTGTGCGTCGTTATAAAAAAAATTCAACAGTACCTCCATTTTTAGTTGTTTAAGTCACTTATCCACGACAGTTTTTTGTTACCGTCGTCTTTTTAAATACAACGATGATTTTTTCTTCTACCATCGTCTTTTTTTGGTCGTCTTTTTCACTTTTTGTAGTAGTGTCATGCTCCTAATGTTCAACATCTGAGAGTTTTTGGCACTGCTGTTTATCCTTACTTGAGATGTTATAATGTGCCCAAGCTTCAACCAAGGACTGCTCAATGTGTGTTCATGGGTTATGCACAAGGTTACAAGGGAGTTTTGTGTTTTAATATGCTTACTGATAAATTTGTTGTTTCAAGACATGTTTTGCATGATGAGACAGTTTTTCCTTTTGCAAATAAAATGTCTTCATCTGTTTCGGGTTCGTCTCACGAAAATTCAAAGACAACTCCAGTATTGGTTTCTATTCCTATTCCTATGTCTTCATCCACTCCAACGCATAGTATGAGTTTATCACAATCTGGTTTACAACCTGCTGTATCTCAGGATGTCATTTTCCCTCACCAAGTTTCCGATAGTGTTCCGTTTACTCTTGCTTCTTCTAGCAATGATTCTATTAGCGACAGGGTACCTCTTGTTTCTATGCCAGCACTCGTGCTAAGGGATGATCAGTTACAAGTACTTATACCAGCTAGCTCTCAATATGATGATGTTTCAATTCCTAGTGGTTCTGTTAATACCCATATTGTGACTGCCAAGTCCAAGGATGGCATTGTTTGTTGAAAGCTTTTTTCTGATTATCAATGCTATTATACCTCTATTCCTTCACTACCTGATGAAATTGAGCCTGCAACTTATAAGTTAACTTCTCAATCTCCAGTGTGGATAAAAGCTATGCAGGAAGAACTTGATGCATTACACATACAGGGTACTTGGATTTTAATTCCAAAACCATGCCATAAAAATGTTGTTGGCAGTAAGTGGGTTTATCGGATCAAAAGAAACTCAAATGGAACTGTTTCTAGGCATAAGCCTCGTCTGGTAGCTCAAGGATTTAGTCAGGAGCCTGGATTGGATTTTAGTGAGACTTTTAGTCCTGTAGTTCAGCATACTACAGTTCGATTAATTCTAAGTATTGCTGCTATGAACAAATATTGGTCTTTAAGACAATTAGATGTTAAAAATGTTTTTTTACACGGAGATCTTGAAGAAGAAGTTTTCATGAGGCAACCTCCTGGTTTTGAAGATTCTGCACATCCAAAGTTTGTGTGTCAATTAAAGAAATCTCTTTATGGTCTTAAGCAAGCTCCAAGGGCTTGGAATGCTAAATTCACTGGTTATTTACCAGCTATTGGTTTTAGATCCTCTCATTCTGATCCAAGTCTGTTTGTCAAACATGCTGGATCTGATATTGTCATTCTTCTTTTATATGTGGATGATATTATTCTTACAGGTTCCAAGGCATCTTGTATTCAACAAATGGTTGATGAACTGCGCAGTTTTTGAAATGAAATATATGGGAAAGCTTACCTACTTCTTGGGTTTACAGATTGATTATAATGCAGAGAGTGATATATTTGTAAGTCAGAAGAAATATGCTAAAGAACTTCTACATAAAGCAGGCATGAGTTCCTGCAGACCCTATTCAACTCCTAGTAAGCCACTTACTCAAGTATTGCAGTATGAGGGTACTCTTCTATCTGATCCCTCGTTATATCGAAGTGTTGTTGGAGCTTTACAGTACTTAACATTTACCAAACTAGATTTATCCTATGCTGTCAATTCTGTTTGTCAATACATGACTGCTCCTACAGACCTTCATTGGTTACTTGTTAAAAGGATACTCAGATACATTCAAGGCACTCTAGATCATGGATTGAAGTTTTCTTGTGGTCCTTGGCAATTACATGCTTTTAGTTACGCAGATTGGGCAAGAGATGTGAATACCAGAAGATCTACTACGGGATTTGTGGTTTTCTTAGGTACTAATCCTATTTCATGGCAATCCAAGAAACAAACCTCTATGGCTAGGAGTTCAACAGAAGCTAAGTATCAATCCTTGGCACATACGTCAGCTGATATAGCTTGGATAAGGCAGGTATTGCAAGATTTAAAAGTTCGTCTGCCTCAGCAACCTGTTTTGCATTGTGACAACTTATCAACTATTGCGCTTAGTTCTAATCCTGTTTATCATTCACGAATCAAGCATTTGGATATTGATTTTCATTTCGTCAAAGAGAGAGTTCAAAGAGGAGACCTGATTGTTCAATACATACCAACTGAAGAACAAGTGGCTGATGTATTTACCAAAGGTCTTCATAGTCCAATTTTTTCTCAAACACTGTATTAATCTTAGATTGGGGAACTCAGCTGGGTTTGAGGGGGAATGATGATTGTACATGTCTAGTCAGCATATTAGCTGTAGCTATAGATGACATGTATATCTTGTGGTCAATTAGGAGTTGTTAAGCAATTGTATAAAGCTATTATGTGTACGGTAATTGTTCATTAAGCAAATACAAACAATAAAGATCTCTTAGAAATTCCCGTGTTCTCTCTCTAGCTTTCTTCTTCCTTATCTTTCTCTGCAAATTTCATTTTCGTTATCATCAACCATGTCCATATCCTCATTTTTCTCTTCACTACTGTTTATAAGGGTATCTAACATATCACTGGTCATGATATGGTCAGGTGCTTTTCTTGATTCCATTCTTTGGATGATCAAGTGATCGAAGAGGTCAAACATCTTCCGGAAGTGACGAGTCAAGGGTTTTGCTTGCTTGTCACCATTGTCTTTTCTTTCTTCTTATTGTTAGGTTTGGATTTGAAATGGCCTGCATGGATTGTCTGAGGCTTTTATCGGCTCACAACTGAACTTAGATCTGAATCTCTAAGACTTTCTTACTCACATGTATCGCATATCTATTTTTTTGTTTCGGAAATGATTTATTTTTTGTTTGGTTACCGAGAAAATGAAGAATACTATGTAGTTTTAAATTCAATGTTTTTTCTTCATATATTCTTTGCTATTGTCTGATGCAGGAAGACTTGAGATGAGATGAGAGATAAATAATATGGATGTAGAGCATGTTGCTATTGCTGGATTCAAAGGTTAAGTTATTTTTGTTCTTGAGTTTGTTTTTCCTAGCCTTCATTATATACCAAACTGAAAATACTGATAAGTAATTGGTGAAAAAAATTTCTCTTTTAGGATCTATTAAGGATTCAGTTGTGAGAAGGAAGGATGGAATTGCTAAATACTTGCTTGTTGTTAAGGACTTATAATTACCTTTGCAAGGCCTTGCCTTATGTATTTACACAGAGCTTGGATTTGGATTCAAGAATGGAAATACTGTTGAGTTGGAACAATATGGTGTAAAATTGGCTAATATAATATTTTAATGTTTAGAAAATGAGAAGTAATTAGAAATTGTTATTCTTTTGAGGAATATAATACACAAGCTATACACTTCTTATACAGATACAAATACAAATACGAGAATTAATATATGTCAGTCAAATCAAACAAAGTAATAAAATATTATGATTCGACATGATGTTCAGCTCTTAATTACAGCTATAGAAAGTCAACAATTTGTGTCACCAAACTCTCTCATAGAGGTGTCAAATGAACTAGGTCGGCCTGACATGGCACGAACATGGTCTGCTTAAGTAAGACACGATACAACATGGTTCATATCTTTGGGTAGTGCCAGGACTAAGTAATTAGGTCTAATGGGTCGGGCAGGCTCCTAACCTGTCGCAGACTGTACCAGCTCGAAATCCAACAGGCCTTCCTGTTTAAAGCCCATTTAATAAATTCTACTTATTTTGAGAGAAAAATAATACGTAATATTATTACATATATATCTTAAATTCAAGATTATTTCTTTTCTCTAATAATCTATATATATATATATATATATAAAGCAAAAGGCAGAAAATGGTAAAATATTCAAAATACCAGAAAATGTACTTGGTTAATGCAAACATTAAGAATTGAAATTATTAATTAAATGAGGATAATATAGTAAATTCACGCTTTTTCATATTAAAAAAAATTAAAATTAAAAGAAAATCAAATAATGGATCATATTTTTATGAAATACAACTACCCATTATCTTTTTTAATTCTAAAATACATGTTAATTTTTTTTTTAAAAGCCTCTCACAAGCGCGGAATCGCGTGTGGAGAGGCTAGTATATATTAAAAATTAATGTTTTCTTTATATATAAAATAATGATTTTATTTTTCAAGTTTCAATTTTTAAAACTCAAACAATAATATAGCAATTTTCTATCTAATTGTACTTTAAATAAAGTTATTGACCTCTTTTTTTAAAAAAATAATAATAAATATTATTAGTATATACATAATTATAAAAAATAAAAAAAAGATTTAAATTCAGTTGTAAAAAAAATTACAAAAAAATGCAATACATAAGTCAAATTTGGCGTAGGCCCATATCGACCCATTTAATGGCCGAATACGAGTACGGCCCAAGCTCATATGGACTTGGGCCGTGAGCTCAAGCCAAAATTGATGATTTTCTTTAATGGGCAGGATTGATGATTATACACCACTACATGTTGGTTTTAAGTCGTAGACATCTTTTTTTGTCGACTAAAAGCACTTTTGTTAATTCAAAAGTTTTGTTTTAGTGGGATTAATAAATTATTAATAATGTAGGAGACAATAGATAGATAATTGGAGAAAAAAAAAGAAGGGGAGCTTTATTATCATACCCAAAATATGGGATGAAATTATAAAAAAACCTACATGAAATGCACTTTAGAAACATACCCAAAAATAATTTACTACATACAAAATGAGTGTTGAATTTCTTATAAGTTACATAACTGCCACTAACTAACTTAAAAGAAGTCTAATACAAAAAAACACAAAAAGACCCAAAACAAGCCCACTTCATTTTTTTTTAAAAACCAAACTTAAGTATAAAAAAAAACATGAAAACCAATGGCATGTCCCCACGTCCCTTCCTTCTCCATCAAACCTCTGCAAACCATGTCATAGAAGTACATTGTTAATACTATATCATATAAGTACATTATTAATACCATTTTATAGAAAAACATTGTTAATACCATTTCAACGAAAAATATTGTTAACACATTTTCATAGAAAAACATTGTTAATATCATTTCATACAATAAAAAAACATTGTTCATACTATTTCATACACACAAAAAAACATTGTTAGTACCATTTCATAAAAAATAAAAAAAATAAAAAAAATATTATTAATACCATTTCATACAAAAAGACATTGTTAATACCATTTCATACAAATAGAACATTGTTAATACAATTTCATACAAAAAACCATTGTTAATGCCATTTCATACAAAAAAACAATACAAATTTATAAATAAACCAAATCCTAGACATGTATTTATAAAAAAACTCAAACACTATTTAAACATAGAAACACACCCAAAATCAACCCCAAAGTCAATAATTGTATATTTTTTGGGTGTGTTTATAAATGGGTTTTGAGTGTATGTAATGATGAGTTTTGGGTGTGTTTATAAAGTGTTTTGGGTGTTTGGTTTTTTTATAATTTCAGCTCATATTTTGGGTGTTTTAGTGAAACTCCCAAAAAACAATTGTTAATACTATTTCATATAAAAAACATTGTTAATACCATTTCATATAAAAAAAATTCCAAAAAAGCCCAGCAATACATCTAATATCATTTGCAAAAATCATCTCCAATTGTCTACAGTTTCATCAATTGTCTACAAGAAAAAAAAATACACTGTTAATACTATGTCATAGAACTATCTTCCTAGTAAAAATCACATTTTGCATGTCATAAACTTGAAGTACACAACTATATATAAAGCAAAATATGGAGCAAGCTTTGTTACTGAAAATATGTTAATACTATGTCATAGAAGTACACTGTTAATACCATGTCATAGAAAACTAATCAAATCAGATTCATCCGTGCAAAATATACTTATATGAAACAAAATTGTTATTTTCTAAATTTTATTTCTTGGTGACATAGTACCTGTCCAAAATTTGTTCTCTATTTATTACCAAAAATTATTTTCTCAAAGTTAGATTTAACCCAAAAAAAAATTATTCAAAACAGAAGAATTTAGTTATAACTGCTTTATACCTCACTATCTACAAGCAATTGCTCCAGTGCCTTTAGCAGGTAGGGAAAAACAGATGCTCCTAGTGTGTCCACCATCCGGTGCACAAATGATGTTACCTGGATACCACATACACTAGCATCAGGTTACAAGTTCAGATGATAAAATATCAAAACAAAGTACTTCTGGTATTCCACACACGACTCCTTACCTTACTGCGCAAAGTCTCTACATTAGGAAACACAACAAGTACTTGTAGAAGAACATCCAATGTCTGGATAACCATGGGAAAAGAAACATTGTTAAGACGTGAAATATTTAGACAGCTTCTCCACAAGTATGGAAAGACTAGTTCCCATCCATACGCCAACAATCACTAATTACAAGGGGCTGTACTTAAAAAGGGAAACTGTAATATCAAAATGGTATAAAACAGCATTGAAATATCTGAGAGCCCACGAGTGCTAATCATAAAGTTCATCAAATAGGCAAACATCAAAGTGTAGAGACAGTGAGTCACAAAAAACAAACAAAAAAGCACACATAAAGCCCTATATCCACAATTTTAATTCAGAGAAACAGACATTCAGATAAATCAATCAGACCACGTACTTGAAGGAAGGTGAACAAAAGAAAGATATAGATACTAACTTGCTTGAACATGAGACCTATTGCAGGGCAACTAGCAGTTACAAGACGCTCACTGAAGCCCTGGATGGCATATAAATTTCAGTAGAGTAATTTCATATATATAAATACAAATCTCGAAGCATTCAAACATAGTGAATTTTCTGAAACCATACAGCTTACTAAGCAGGACTGGCAAAAGGGGTAAAGGACTCTGAAGACTTTTAATATAAGTGACAACATAATAACTCCTCTTTTACCAGATCTTGTAAGCGAATTGATCAAGAGTTTTGTAATCCATGCTTGTAAATCTAGCGACTGTATCTTGCAAACTCTGTAAAATTCATTTAAATTAATTTAAAACTCCGTAAACTCTTTGAAAAAAAGAATGGTAATCTGTATAAAGCAATTCAAAGGAGATAAAAGTAAAAGGCGAAAGCTAGCGGAGCCAGGAATTTATGTGTTGGGGGGCCAACATATAAACCAAACAAGACTTTTAAAAAATTCAAATTTTCAACCTTAACAATGTTTGGAAAAATTAATAGCAAAAAATAATTGTTTATTCAATTAGGTATCAAAATAACACTCGTTGTTCTTTCATATCTCGAAAACCATCTATAATTGAGTCAATGCTAAACTTTTCGGCAATTTCCCTTTCAATGTACATAATCAAAAAGTCTGTGAGAAATTCTTCTTCTATCTTGTTATGAAGCCTAGTTTTTACTATACGCATAGCACAAAATGATCGCTCTGCAGTTGCTGTAAAAACAGGAAGAGTAAACACAAGCACTACCACTAAATAAACAAGTGAAACAAAAATTAAAATCCCAATCCTTTTTTATTTGGGTAAAAGTCTACTTTCTATTTGATAAAGGAAATTTTTTGAAACTTTATTTGATTGGCTGCTTTAATTTTTTTATTAATATATTGATGGACATTAGATTCCACTTTTTAAAAACCAAAGTTGGCGTGTGGACAGAAACATTCACGACCTTCAGTCAATTGGTTATTATTATATATACTTAATTTGGAAAGAGAAACACATTTTGAGGGGGCCACAAGCAAAATTGTTATGCATACTTTCTAAAATCTGTAGGAATAGAGGACCAAAAATAAAATATTATCAAATTTTTGGGGGGGCCCAGGCCCCTTCAGGCCTTATAATACCTCCGCCAGCAAATTAATGAGGTCTGGAGGAACTAAAATGTAAGCACGTGGATATATAGGAATGTAGCAGCCAACTATGATTACCCGGCATGTATTCTGTTGTACAGCTGAGGCACACTACAAAATAATGTAGGTCTCAGTGTTACGACTGTCGAGGTTCTGGTCGTTCATGCCTTCGATCGTGTCCGTCATGGCCTTCTCGTTGCTGAAGGTGACGAAGACGAAGCCGAAGCCCCTGGACCTCCCAGTCTCACGGTCGTTGATGATCTGGAAACACAAAAGAAACCAAATCAAATCATATCTGTCCATCAAAACCAAAACACCAGAGTATAATCAAATAAATACACAATAATAAACAAAAATGAAAAGGAATCGATCGATCTTCAATATTTGGGAGAGAAAGATCAAGTAACATAGAGAAACAGAATATCAAGTAGCAGAGAGAGAACATGCGTCAAATGGCCCTTCGATTCGATGATCTCACCGAACCGAGAAAAGGCCCTCTCCAGTGTATCATTGTCGGTGGCCCAGGCGAGCCCTCCGACGAAGCTCAGAATGATGAGGTTGAACAAAAACTGAGGTGGAAGAACAAAAACCGAAAATTGGGGTTGAAGATGAAGATGAGAGACTGAAGGTCATGAAATGAGTTCTGATTTGGTGTTGATTAGAATTCCAATTTTATGTTAAAAAGGTAATAAAGGTATTTCATCTTAATAATTAAATTAAAATATATACAGCTGTCGATTTTTGGGTTTGTTTTGGGTGTGTTTATATACATTAAATAATATAGGGTATTTTTATAGTTTTATGTCTAAAAATGGGTGTTTAACTAATTTTCTAAATAAAAAAATTGCTTTATTAAACCAATGGGTAACAGTAATTAATCATAGTTAAACCAATGGGTGACAGTAACAGTTTCACAACAATTGATCATTATTGAGTTTCAAACTTGTTAAGTAGGAGGATACAGTGCATGGATTTTATTAATGTACGTAAAAACCAATAGCTAGCTAGGATCTCCTATGTCATGGGCACAGCTATTAGAGGCTGAGCCTTCTCTAAAGTGAGGCCAAACTTGTCTTCCATGTTCATGGTCTCTGGTGCAACCCCATCTTCAAGCTTCCAGTTATCAAAGCAGTTAAGAAGTGACCCCAACATCAAGTTCAGCATTCTCATTGCCAATGGTAACCCAGGACAAATTCTCCGTCCACCACCAAACGGGATAAGCTCAAAGTTCCTCCCTGTAACATCCATGTCCAATCCCAAGAACCTCTCTGGCATAAAGGAGTTTGGGTTGTCCCAGATGCTGGGGTCTCTGCCTATGGCCCATGCATTGACCAAAACTTGTGCACCCTTTGGTACAATGTACCCGCAGATTTCTACATCTGCTCCAGCTTTGCGAGGAATTAGCAATGGAGCTGCTGGGTGCAAGCGGAAGGTCTCTTTGATTATGGCTTGTAAGTAAGGGAGCCGAGTGATGTCTGATTCCTCCACCGGTTTTCCTTTGCCAATGATGTGCTTCAGCTCCTCTTGAGCTTTTGACAGATTTTCGGGGTTGCGTAGTAGCTCAGCCATTGCCCATTCTAATGTGGCTGAAGTTGTATCTGTGGCAGCAGCAAATAGATCCTATAATAATTGACCAAATTGATTAATTAGTAGGAATATAATTACTTATACCATATCAATTCAACATCTGATCTACCATTTTCATGGTAAACTCGACCTCCGATTGAGACAGTAGCAATTAAGAAAAAGAAAACAAAAGCGAAAATGTATAGTAGCTAGTCATAATTAATTTTGAAATCTAAGCAATTTATACATAAATACACTAGTTAGTAACTTAGTATCAATTGAAACAAAGTTATCAAGATTAAAGAACAGGAGAGCTAGAGTATATATAGATAGCCACTAACCAGGAACAAATGTTGAGTTTCAACCATGTCCATATCCTCATTTTTCTCTTCACTACTGTTTATAAGGGTATCTAACATATCACTGGTCATGATATAGTCAGGTGCTTTTCTTGATTCCATTCTTTGGATGATCAAGCGATCGAAGAGGTCAAACATCTTCAGGAAGTGACGAGTCAAACGGCGCCGTATCCCCACGGGGTCAATCTTTTTAAGCACTGGAAAATAGTCAGCCAAGTTTGGTTTCGAAATCTCTTCCATAATACTCCGCACCAGCTTCTTGAACTCTCTAGCCCTCTCACTATTCTGGTCCGCTAAATCCACAGAGAAGACAGTCCGTGACATCAAATTGAGCGTAGTTTTGAAAGCCGCTCTTCCAATCTCCACTGCATCACCTTTTACAGCGCTTTCATGGACATCAGCTATGAGCTCTTGCACTTTTAGGTGACGGTTGGCTTGGCTGGCGTCGAGAACTTTGGTGGCGAACAATTGGGAGTTGCATATTTTGCGAAGGTTTCTCCACTTAGCTGAAACAGGTATCCAGGGCATGCCGTTCTCGCCATGTTTACAGGCTTGGACTGAATCTAATACTGTTCGGTTGCAAAACAATTGGTCATGGGTTTGCAGGACTTGTTTAGCTATGGCGGATGAAGAAACTACAACAGTTGTGATTTGACCAAGATGTAAAGTCATAATGGGGCCATAGCGTTGTGAAAGCTTGGTTAGGGAGAGGTGGGGTTTGTTTCCAAGCTCTAGAAGATTTCCAATGAAAGGAAGTGGCTTTGGTCCGGGCGGAAGCTTATTGGGACTTGTTCTTGCAAATGAATAATAGAGGGCATGGATTGAGATCCAGGCAACCATAAGACACATTAGCATGCAACTCAAGAAATCCATCTCTCGCCTAGCTAACTCAATTAATTTTTGGCACGATTGTGGAGACTTATCGAGAAAGCATGAAAATATCTTTTCAGGACCAACTCTTTTAAGTTGTTTATATATATATATATCCCCTAAGCTAAGAGACAATAGTTAATAAAGGCATTTCAGAACAACTTGCGTAGGTAATTTGACAACAACTTGCGTAGGTAAAGACATTTGAGAACAGTTTGTGTCGGGACTTATCTGTCACAAGTGGAAGCTTTTACAAGCCATCTCTATTTACCCCAAATGGAAATTTGCACAACTATCATTTCAACTTTAAGGTATGTGCATGATTACCTCATAATTTTTTTTGGTAACCATTTGAACTATTTAAAATGTTGAAATATATTACCACCTACATCTAACTCCTTTAAAAATTCCGTTAAATCAAGTCACATGCTTCAAATGTGATATTATTAAAGAACATTTCCATCAATTCACTATAAATAAAAAATATAAAGCTAATAGGAAAAAAAAATAAAAAATAAAACCAACCTAATTTTTCCACGACTTTCCCATCCCCTTCCTACACTAGTTCTCACTCATTGGCAAAGTAACCCCTCCCAAATCTAGAAGAGTAGAAACAAAGAAAGAAAAGTGATTGAGCCAACAAGATTTCCAAACACATTTTTTAAATTGAAAATTCAACACCGAATAACTTAATAAAAAATTTACAAAACAAAAATCTGTATTCTAGCCTTCGCAAGGTCAATGTACCATCATATTGAAGGGGATGTAGTGAACAAATTTTAAGACGCAATGATCTACAGTTTCTGAATTCATCTTCCTGTGATGCGTTGTGAAGAAATTTTAAGAGGCAGGACGTATGAGATCCAAGCCTAGTGAATCAACTAACACCAAATTTTGAGAAAAAACAAAACGAAGAAGAAAGATGAAGATTGGCCTCAACCATCGACCAAGAATAACTCAATTTCAGAGAGAAAATGTTCACTTTATTTTGGTGAGGGAGAATTGGTGTTGGAAGGAGGTGGGGAAGTTTGTGAAATTATTAGGTTAGTTTTCCTACTTATTTTTTTCATTTAAAATTAAATTCTGTTAGTTTTTAAAATTTCTAAATTTATACATACATATAGATATATATAGTGATTGACATAAATGCCCTTAAAAATCACATGTGCATTATGTGACTTGATTTGATGAAATTTTTTAATGGACTTAGATGTAGGTGGTAAATTCCAACACTTTACATAGTTCATGTGGTTACTAATAAAATTAAAAATTAAGATGGTAATCCTACACATGCCTAAAATTTCAAGTGATATTTATGCCAATTTTCCTTACTCAAATATTTATGCCAATTTGTGCAACCGCATCACACAAAAGGATCCGGAGGAATTTAGATATTTTCTTCTTAGATTAAATTTGTCCACACGGACACTAAATAATTCAAAACACCTATTACAAGCAATCTCTAACAGCCATTGTCGGTAAGGAAGCTTTTATCAAATTTGTTCTTCTATACACGGTCGGTGTCAAATATCATATAAATATTCTTGTCATACCAAGATAAAATCATATGGGTCAATTAAAGCTTTTTGTCGAATCTCATCCAGACTGGAAAAGGCAACTGGTGTGGTGTGACTTGAAGAAAATGAAGTCATCTAAATTCTTACCATGAGCTCCATCAATCGAAAGAACTAGGTCGGCAACCTTACTTATGGACAAGGAAAAGACGTGTTGAGAACGTGCATCGAGTAAACTGTTTTTTTATCAAAAGCGCCAAGCAATTTAAGGTCAACTTTATCATGCACGACAAAAATTAAGACGGAATTGCAGAGAAAAGGAAGAAGCCGCCGAGGCCTGCGGTTAATATAACCAAGGATGAAACAAGAACAACAAAAAATTCTACAGCCGCCGGGTAGAAATCAAAGGACCACCAACCCTACTGTTCTTTTAACTTGCAACATGTTTAAGGTCATCAAATCTTGTAAGAATTTTCTTCGTGGGCATGAAACTTCAAATTTTCTCAAGCTATTTAAACACAAACACGGCCAATATAATTAGTAGCCCTATTGTCAACAATGGTAGGAGCCCCATAAAGCCAAGACAGTCCAATTACTATATGCACCCCAATAAACCTTCCTCATAAAAAACAGAAACTATCTTCATAGTTAATTCTACTGGACGTTCTTACAACAACCAATTGTTATTGAGATTCAAAACTTGATGAATGATTGAGATATATACACGACATACTCTCTATTATTATTATTTTTATAATAAAAGTGATCGATATTAGGTGGGTGAGATTCAAACACAGAATTTCGAGTGTGTTGAGGCCCAAAAAATTCAAGAGTAGGCCCAAATATATTCCTGGTCCAGTGCGATACCTTACTGAGAAGAAACCCGATTTGGGCACTCGAAAGTTCATCATACACTCTCACGCAAGTCGCGATCCACGTGTCATTCCAAGCAAATACGCAACACGCCACGTAAAGAGGTCAACAAAACAAAACAAAAACAAAAATGCGTATTCTAGTGGCATGGCTCTGTTTGCTTTTCCTTTAGATATAGCCTTCGCATGGTCAATCTACCATTATATTGAAGGGGATGTGTAGTGAACAAATTTTAAGAGGCAATGATCTACAGTTTCTAAATTCATCTTGCTGTGATGTGTTGTGAAGAAATGCATGGGTATGAGATCCAAGCCTAGTAAAGCAACTAAAACGAAAATTTTGAAAAATATTAATAACGGGCGAACAGAAGAAAAGGTTGCAGTGGTAAAAGAAAGGTGCGGCTACAGCTAAGGTGGAAAGAAAAAAACATATTCATCTTTGAGAAGAGAAGAGGAGAGGAAAAAGCACTAAACATAAACAAACAACCCTTACGGGTGAGGAGTGAGGAGTGCCAATGGCTCTCAATGTTGGCAACTTGAGAATCGCTAATCGGTGTTAGCCATTAGCTCTGATACCATGTAGAAACTGATTTTTCCTTAGTCATTCATGTGATCATTATACAATATATAAATATGTAGAGAACAAGCCATTATCATAAACATAAATATGGAGTTATGGCCTAAAACAACATAACTGACAACTGACCATTTCCTATCATTAGTAGGATTAATTATTGTAACTGAAATACTATTGTAGATCCCTAATAAAAACATAAATCTATTTATTATAGAAACCATAGCTAGCTAGGTTTGGTTCTCCTAATACTTGATGGGCACAGCTATCAGAGGATGAGCCATCTGTAAAGTGAGGCCAAACTTCTCATCCATGTTCATTTTCTCTGGCACAACTCCATCTTCAAGCTTCCAATTATCAAACGAGTTAATAAGCGAACCCAACATCAAATTCAACATTCTCATCGCCAAAGGCAACCCAGGACATATTCTCCTCCCGCCACCAAACGGAATAAGCTCAAAGTTCTGGCCAGTAACGTCAATATCCAATCCCAAAAACCTTTCAGGGATAAATGAGGTAGGGTTGTCCCAAATGCTGGGGTCTCTGCCGATGGCCCATGCGTTGACCAACACTTGTGCACCCTTTGGTACAATGTAACCGCAGATTTCTATGTCTGCTTGGGCTCTGCGAGGGAGAAGAAGTGGGACAACTGGGTGCAGCCGGAAGGTCTCTTTGATTATGGCTTGTAAGTAAGGAAGTCGAGCAATGTCTGTTTCCTCAACTGGTTTCCCTTTCCCAATGACTTGTTCTAGCTCCTCTTGAGCTTTTGACAGTTTTTCCGGGTTGCATAGTAGCTCAGCCATTGCCCATTCCAATGTGGCTGAAGTTGTTTCTGTGGCCGCAACAAATAAATCCTATATTATTCACCAAAGGGTTGATTACTTAGTCAGAGAATTAATCGGAGCTAGCTAGCATATATGTATAATAATGAACTAATAAAACTACGTATACCATCTCAACCGTCTACGTAGTAAATTCGTTCTTTAAGTCAGTTTAGATGGTATAAACAAAAACAAAAACAACCTTAATAATCACAAAAAGATACACTCTAATTAGCAATTAGTATGTATAGGAAAGATATATCCATAACTAACCAGAAACAAATGATGAGTTTCAGGAATGTCCATATCCTCATTTTTCTCTTCACTCATGTTTATAAGAGCATCCAACATATCATTGGCTGTGACATAATCATGTGATTTTCTTGTTTCCAACCTTTGGAAGATCAAGCTGTCAAAGAGGTCAATCATCTTCCGGAAGTGCTTGGTCAAACGGCGCCGTATCCCCATGGGATCAATCTTCTTAAGCACAGGAAAATAGTCAGCCAAGTTTGGTTTCCCGACCTCTTCCATGATACCCCACACCAACTCCTTGAACTCTCTAGCCGTCTCACTTTTCGGGTCCGCTAGATCCACAGAGAAGACAGTACGTGACAGCAAATTGAGGGTAGTTATGAAAGCAGCCCTTCCAACTTCAACTGCCTTACCTTTTACCACGCTTACATCAGCTATGAGCTCTTGCACTTTTAGGTGACGGTTGGCTTGGTTGGCGTCGAGAACTTTGGTGGCGAACAATTGGGAGTTGCATATTCTGCGAAGGTTTCTCCATTTAGCTGAAACAGGTATGAAGGGCATGCCGTGCTTGGCATGCTTGCAGGCTTGGACTGCATCCGGGATAGTTCGGTTGCAAAATAATTGGTCGTGGGTGCGGAGGACTTGTTTGGCTACGGCTGATGAAGAAACTATAACTGTTGTTATTTGGCCGAGTTGTAAAGTCATAATGGGGCCATAGCGTTTTGAAAGCTTGGTTAGAGAGATGTGGGGTTTGTTTCCAAGCTCTAGGAGATTTCCAATCAAAGGAAATGGCTTTGGTCCAGGTGGAAGGTTTGTGGGAATTCTTCTTGCAAATGAATATTGGAGGGCTTGGATTACGATCCAGGCAACCATAAGACATAATAGTACACAACTCAAGAAATCCATATCTCTCTCTTTCTTCTTCCAGCCGTTAATTTTTGGCACAATTGTTTAGAGGACATGAGCATATTTTTTTCACTACTGATATATATATATATATATATATATATATAAATATCCTACATGCTAGGAGATAAACACGAAAGAGAAAAACTTAGGTGGGGACTTTCCTACCATGTGGCAAAATAGACAGTAATAATATATATCTTAAAAAAAAAAAAAAAAAAGAAAGAGGAAGACTTGAACTTGCTTGGGTGTAAGGGCCTGCAGGGCCCCAAGTGAACCTCTCTTCTATCTCTTGGGAAGCCTACATGCAGCTAAAATACGAAGTGGTGGGGAATTTTTCTACTACTGTCATGAGGGGCTCAAGGAGACACACAAAATAAAAAATACATAAAATATAGAGCCCCATCCCCATCCCCACTTGACCTCTTTTTAACCATTTTTCCTGAAAGCACCTACCAAAACAGTCCCACTGTCCCTATTTGAGTGTGATGCATTTTGTTATTTGGACCGCGTTGTTTGTTTTTGTTGAAGGAAATTGTGATCCTCCTAACATAATTTCACCATCATTAATTAATTAATGGAGTTCTATTATTTTATGTTCGACCCATTCGAGACGCAAGTCTCTTAATTACAACTCCTTGTTTACAAGGGAAAACCCTTTGATTCCATCATAAAGAAACAGAACGTGTGTGTGTGGTTTTGCCGCTGCTCCCAAGTCCAACCTCAGGATGCCTACGTATCCCTCACGGAAATCAAGCCACTCGTAATTCAAAGATCCACAATGAATAAATGACTCATAGCAAAATGAGGAATTTGAATGAATTTGATTGAGAAGCGTTTGGATGAATTTAGCTGAATAAACCAGGGATTCGATATGGAATTGTGTTTGGGATGGTTGCATCTAGATTGAATCTCTAGATTGCCTACGTACCCTTTCAAAGGGATCAAACCAACGTGGTTCGGAATTGATTTGTGTGGAGATTTGATTTATGAGAATTTGGTTGCAGTTGTGTCTATTGGGATGCTAGACTGCCTACGTACCTTTGATGGGATCAAACCAGCGTAGTTCCAAAATGATTTGGAAATTAATTGGTAAGTGTGGCCCAATAATTTAGAATTGGTGTCTTTGAGATAATTTGGGGATTTTCATAGGTAGATGACCTATCAGAAATTAATTGGTAAGTATGGCTCACTAATTGAGAATTTGTGTTTGAGATATTTGAATTTAATCTCATTGGAATTTTCATGGGTAGATGACCCATGTGAACAATTGGAAATTAATGGGTAAGTGTAGCCTACTAATTGAGAATTTCTGTTTGAGAGATTTGAAATTAATCTCAATGAAATTTGCATGGATAGATGACCCATGGAAAAAATTAGATGGTTTTGTACCATTTTTTATTGTCGATGTCCAAGAAAACTAATGGGCAATTTTGATAAACCCATTAATTTAATTTGATCATTAATACTGCATTTGTACCCAAGCATGATTTTGGGGACTTGAAAGACTTCACGAGTCTTTATCCAAGTAGGACTTGCACAGTGACCGTTGAGGATGAATCTTGGAGCAAACCATTAGTCGTTTTTGTTCACCCGTTTTGTGATCATTCCTGTGGTGGAAGGGCAAAGTTCCCCACTGCCTTATGAACTATTGGCTGGTCAGCAAGTCAGCTTTCTTTGGTGTATGAGCGTGCCACTGTTAGCAATGAAGATTCTAGCAGACTTATTCTAGAATAGATAACTTGCGCCCCAAGTTACTGATTTACATAAACAAGCGATTGTGAATTTGGGTGAGGAATATCTCCCAAGTAAATTCTTTTCTTGCCTCAGACTAGTGAGGACTTTAACAATTTATCTCAGTATAAAGAGGTTGTTCTGGCCAGAATGGTTGATGGAATTTAAGCTGTCTTAGGCAGAACTGCCTTTTACAAAACTATAAACATAAATATCCCAGCTAGAAAGAAGAAAGGACAGTTAGAACTCCATTTCTGTCTGGATAGAGGGTTCTGATCCGGGCTGGACTGGAAATATCTGGGCTGGACTGGACTGTTAACAACTTATGCTGCTAAGTTTCAGCTGTAGATCGATACCAAAGGTTAATTTTGGCAGAGCTTTAATACACTTCAAGCTTTTGTGAGACTTCTGAGTGGGCAGAACTGCGGCTTCTTTAGTCTGTAAGGGCAGAAGTGGCTGTTCTCGAGGACTTCAGTGGGCTAGAGACTGCACTGTAAAATTTGTTGAGGTTTTCATGTTTGGGAAAAGCTCAAGCTCTACCTGTCTTGATTTTTTGCTGAACCAAATTTGTAACGAGAGAAATCTCGTTTTGATTAACTTTTTCTAAGTCTGAACCTTTGGAATTATGATCTGAAGCTGGTTTCACTTGGAATTTAAGCGGGCTTTTTGGTTGATTTTTGAGTTGTTTGTTTGTTTGATCGTTTTTGATTGATTGTTGTTGAATTGAGTCCCTTTGAACCTGTTCACCCTCTCCTCTATTTATAAGAGATGTTTAGGTTTAGGATTTCTTTCTTAAAATAATGGACGGCAAATCTTTTAAAAATCTAGAAAGAAATACAAGAGAGAAGAGTTTAAATTTTGTCAGATAGGCTCTCATCAATCAATCCTTAAGATCACTTCTCTGTTTCTTTTAAAAGAAAAACCTAATCTCCTTTCCCAATTTTAACTGCCCCTTGTGAGATTTCATCCGTGATGGTTAGTTTTATTTCTTCAGTTTGAACAACTCCCTGCTTTCCTGCTTATCTCTTTCTGAGATTGTAGCTTGCTTATCTCTTGGGAGAATCACCTTCTTTGTAAAGTAGAAAAAATCTTTGAATATATATATATATATATATATGTAAGAGGGATTTGATCTTCAGATTTTTAGAGGTGTCTCTTTCAATTTGCCAGCCACTGACCCTTCCATTTATCAACTTTGTGATAGTTGGTTTTGTTGACTTTTCCAAACCTGATAATACAAAGATGTCACGTGGGTTCTAGGATAAGTCCCTTTCTTTATCCAAATCGTGTTGGGCTTATTTTGTTTGGAGCCCAAAAGGTGATTTTCTTTTAAGGCCCGAGTCTATTGGTCTGGTTTGAGCTAGGCCTTTCTGGATCTTGGGTTTCTTCTTATTGGGCTGGACGTGCTAATTTAGGCCCAAACAGTTTTCAACTAGACTTGTAAGCAAAGCGTGAGGCACTTCTGTTTTGCCTTGAGCTTTTATGCTTCCGGCGTCACTGACTTGGTTACTGTTTCCTTGGTTATCAAATTTGGCTTCCATGCCGGTTGAGTCATTCTGTCTAGCTAAGTGCCAACTTTTTGGATTGTAGGAGAAAGTGAGAGAGTAGCCATGACTTGTGCCCTTCTAAATTCCATCATTTTCCCATAATAAAATAATGTGGTCTCTTTTGAAATAAAAGAATGGCAGATATTTTTTTCATATGGGAACACAGAGCATGATGAGAGGCTCTAAACAATGCCATGTTACTCTTTAGGCAGAGGAAGACAAATGTGCTAATAATTTGTCATTACCCATAATGGCCCACCAACGAAATTGGTAATGTATGGCTTGGCTTCATATCACAATGCACAATAAGTATTGCATCACATTCAGCCTTTAGTAAAATACTCAAAGGATTTTGAGACTACAACCGCTTATCAAGGCTCCCATTTGGCATCTCCACGGGCTTCTATTTTCTTCTGTTTACATTCAGCAAAGCATAGTAAACCAAAAGCCTTGCTTTGCTCCAGCTGGTCCCCTCACAGCTTGGTGCCATTAACAAGTGTGTTTTTTTTAAAATTGATCAAGAGACCCAAGGATAAAAATCCTTCTCTAAGTGAAGTAAGAATTAAGCTCCTTGTTGATTTGGAACTCCTGGCTCATCCGGTAAGGTAAACTTCTTGTCCATATAGGATTAGGCTATATGTGTTTTTCTTATAAAAAGGAAAACACATGTGTGCACCAGCAAACAGCAACCAAACGAAAGTTTTAAAATCATTCTTTGTTTGCTTCTCCAGACCAGCACATAACTTTGCCCAAGCCACCTGTTGCACCATCAAAAAGAAGAAACAAATTGTTTCTTCTCCTCTAAGATTTCACGTGGTAACCCACATGCCATAATCTTCGTTTTCTTCTATTATATATATATATGTAAAAGGGGTCTAGAACCAAGGGGGGTTAGCATATATAGTGATGAAGCAGACATAGTAAAAAAGTCGCAGTTTATGCATAAATCTTATCAATGAAAAAACAAATATTGAATGTATGAACATAGTGATATATTATAAATTACTCAAAATACTTTATTAAAACATAGGTTTATGAGAATGTTGGCTTACAAAGATAGCTCCTAGTTTTGCTCACGCTCAGCTGTTCTTCAGATCATTGTTTCTGAGAGAACAATTTGAAACTAAGAAACTAAATTTTACATTCTGTTTTCAAAAGAGGCAGAAGCCTCCTTAAATAGAAAATCTCAACTAAAAGTAACTCTGGTAAACTAACTCAGGTGTCATGATTGCGAGCAAGGCACTGTATGACTTTTGACTTAGGAAACTGCTTTTACAGGGGAATCTACTTTCACGCAGGGGCTTTATGCTTTCACTCTGCTTTCTTAGGGGAATCTGCTTTCACTCAGGAACTTTATGCTTTCACTCTGCTTTCTCAGGGGAATCAATGATTCAACTTTCAATTTTGTCTGTTGATGGGAATCTCAGTCTGAATTGAGGTCATAAGTGGCATAGGCTTCATTGGGATCTTGACCATAGGGATAGTCAGACCATCTCAGGGGTTGATCAGGACTTGGGCTTGGGCTTTGCTGGAGGGGCTGGCAACTTGAAGATGATTGGGACTCATTGTCTTCATCATCATGCATCTGCGAGGCCTGTAGAAGTAATTGTTTAGCCATATCTTGTAACTCAGCTTTAGTTTTTCCTTCAACAAAGAGACTTGTCTGGGAAGAATGTGGAGAAGTAGGCTCAGGCTCATGTTTAGGGTAGTCATGCTTAGGAAAGTCTCTGTAGATGTATTCAACAATTCGGTGGACTTCAAAACGATCCCACCATTTAACAGAAAATTGACGGGAAAAAATTCGGGTTTCCCAGTTAACATTGTAAGACCATTTCATAATCCAAGGAATCTTGTAACGAGTAAAGAAAAGCAGGGGAATAGGAAAGAATAAATCACGCTCAGGGAGTTTTACTTTAGAGCAGAAGTAAGTAATAAGCTCAGTGATTTGGGGATGAATAATTTCTGATTTGGGGCCATGTGTGTCCCACCAGTGAAGAAACCAGTAGGGAAGCTCACAGCGGAATTTACTGTCAAAATTGATGAACCATGAATGTGTGAAATCAGGAGTTTGATGTAAAAAGATGTAATACCAAGACTCAACATAGTCAGCATAATTATATTGTAATTTAGATGGAAGGGTTCTTAGCTCATAAGGGTGTGCACCCCAACTTTTCTGACTCAAGATCTGGTAGATGTAGAGGGAATGGTAGATAATTTTTTGGGGATCAGTTTTATCACGGATAGGCTTAATATCAACAGATTTGGTCTCATGAAGTATTTCTCTATATAATTTAAGAGACTTGTATGGACTATGCGGAAGATAATGAAAACCAGGAGGAAAGTGATTCTGGGCGATCATTGCTGGGCTCATAGATACAGAAACATGTGGTTCAAGAATAAAAAGATTAGCAGTACTCCTAAAAATGTAGGGGGAAGTCTTAGGATAAAAGGTAGAAGAAGAAAGTGGAGTTGCAGTAGGAGGTAGCTGAAAGGGGTCATAACTGGAAGTAAGTGCAGATTGGTAATTGGGTCTTATTTGGCTCAATGTAGATCCTAAGGGACTAAAACGATTAATAACTGGGATAGGAGAAAGACTAGGGTAAGGAGTAAGCATAGGCTCAGACTTAGGAAAGGAAGAGGAACTAGATAGGCTCATTTTTTATGGATTTTTGGCTTAATGAGGCAGGAAGAATCCTGGGTAATTGGGGAGTTTGGCTGTAGTGATCTTTGTGTTTATCTTTTTCTTTTCTTCCGGCCATTGCTTATCCTGTAAAAATTCTTTGGTAAGAAAATCAGGAACAGAATTCTCACTTCCTTTTAGAAATTCAATGTCAAAATCAAATATGCTTAAAAGAGCTTGCCATCTTGCAAAAATTTGTTTTGATGCAATATTTTGAACATCTTTTCTAATACATGTTTAGCAGATTTGCAATCAACTCGAACTAAAAAATTTTGATTTAATAGATCATCTTGAAATTTAGTAATACATAATACTATGGCTAATATTTCTTTTTTAATAGTACTATAATTAGCCTGCGACTTGGACCAAATACCAGAATGAAATCGAACAATTTGCTCAGAAGGAGTAGAAAGAGTTCTCTGTTTAAGGATACCACCATAATCTATATCAGAAGCATCAGTCTCAACGATTTTAAAGGAGTCTGTAGTTGGAATGCCAAGGCAAGGAAGTGTCCTAACATGGCGTTTAATTTGTTTGACAATCTCAGTATGGATAGGGGACCAGGGAGGAGGATTAGTCTGTAACCTATCATATAAAGGTTTACATTGTTTTCTTAAATTTTTGTAAAAATCAGAAACATAATTTAGGGATCCTAAAAATCTTTGTAATTGATTCTTGTCAATTATTTGGTCAGGAAATTTATCAGCAAAATTGTATGGCTCTATCTATAGGATGTATTTGTGAGTGACAAATATTAAATCCAAGAAATCTTATATGAGTTTGGAACAATTTAATTTTCTTAGCAGAGACAACTAATCCATTAGCTTTTATTATCTGTAAGAATTTATGCAAATGTTTCCAATGTTGTTCTATGGACTCAGAGAATATAAGAACATCATCAATATAAACTATGGAAAATTGACTCTATGGATTAAAAATCTCATTCATTATATTCTGGAATTCACTAGGAGCATTTTAGAGACCGAAAGGCATTACATTCCATTCATAATGACCAAAGGGAGTAACAAAAGCAGTTTTATATCTATCAGTTTCAGTAATTTGTATTTGCCAAAAACCACTTTTTAAATCAAATTTAGAAAAGATAATAGCTTTGCTTAGGCGATTGATTACATCTCTTTTATTTGGGATAGGGTATCTAATCCATTCTAAAACAGTATTGAGGGGTTTGTAATTAATAACTAGTCAAGGCGATCCTCTTTCTAACTCAGCATTTTTCTGTACATAAAAAGCAGGGCAAGACCATGGTGACTTACTGCGTCGAATTATTTTTTATTTTAATAATTCATTAATCTCATTTTTACAGAATTCTACTATTTCCTGACTCATTTGTATTGGACGGGCTTTAGTAGGTATATTTTTCTCAGAAAAATTCTTTATATAAGGCAGACTTACAACATGGTTTTTCCTATGCCAGAAAGCATTAGGTAAATCGGAACATATTTCAGTAATCAATTTTTTCTCAAAATTTTGAATTTGTTTTTGCAACAAAGAGGTGCTTAATTGAGACTCAATATGTTTAGATTTTACTTCATCCTGGAGATGTCGAATCTGGCTAGTTTTATCATTAATTAAAGAAGTTGTCATGGTTGCAATATTTTTTTCTACAAATTTTAACTTATGTAGTTCAGATTTAGTAAGAAATTCAAACTTAACTTCTTCACCTAAATGACTCGAAATTACTCCATCAAATTCAACTTGGAGGGGATAAAGAAGACTTATGAATGGTAAACCTAAAATGACTTTATCAGTTATGTTCTTTATTAGGACGAATGAAGTTTTAAAACAGACTTTATTCTGACAGACATGGGCTTTTGGAATTTCATATTTTAATTGTAGCATTTTTCCAGAAGCAGTACTCAGGGATTCTGTAGATTTTGTATAGTATTTAGTGGGAATTAATCCTTCTTTTATACAATTAAGATCGGCTCCGGAATCAAATAAAGCAATAGTATTGATTTCAAAATCATTAATAATTATGGTGACTTTGGAATACCATTTCCTAAAAGGGACATGCTTAATTAAATTAATGGCTTGATCAATTTTCTCATTTTCTTCAGAATGGGTTGGACTACTTGGTTGGCTGTCAGTTTTAGATGAGTTTTTCTCTAGGAGGGAATTCAAGCTTTGTCGGATATCATAATTCTCAGTTTGTAATCTATAACTTAATTGTTTTAGTTCAACTATTTCCTTTTTACAGACTTTACCTCAGTATGTAAATCATGCAAAGAAATTTCTTTTTCTTATGAAACCTTTCTAGGGTAGTATTTAGACTTATAGTGGAAGAAGAGGGCTGAACTATATTTTCTTGGGTTATGATTTTTCTTAGTTTATTTAGATATTCAGATTTTAGCTCAGGGTGTTCTATTTTACTAATTAAATCAATCAGCAATTCTTCTTGCTCTTCTTGCTTAGTTAAAACAGAAATAGACTTAAGAGTATTACAACATTTATCTTTACATCCTATTTGTATGTTTGGCGAACTTAAGTGGGAATCAGAAGACTCGTAGGTGGAAGACTCAGAGTTACTAACCATAGTTATATCGTCGCTGGACTCAGAATTTCTTAACTCAAGTACTTTAATTAATTTAGCTTTTTCTTCGTCGGTGATCTGTAATTGTCGGATAGCATCTTTTACTTTACACTTATTAGCATAGTGACCGAACTTTTGACATTTATAACATTTTACTTTACTCTTGTCAGTACTTTTCTTAAAGTTCTTATTTTTTGGCTTTTCTGACCATCTTTTCTTAGGGTGAAACTTTCGTTTCTTATAGAATTCATTATTATAAGTTTGTTTTTTTCGCTTATAGTGACGTTTCTTACAAAGATGACTGGGAGACTTATATTTATTTTGTCTAGAAGGAGGAGTAAATAAACCATATTGCTCACAAAATTACCTAACTCATATTTTGCTGACTTCCTTTCAGATTGTATTTGTTTATTAATTTTCATATCAATACACATTTTCATTCCTTCTTGGTTAATTGTACTGATAATATTACCATATGTTAGGTTATCATAATCTATGTGACCTAGCTCATTGCTTAGGACAGTTTTAATCTTATGGGCAAATAGATTAGGCAATCCATTAATAAATTTTTCTTTCCAAAAGGCTTGGTTACTATCTTCTCTTATCATTACTCGGGAAATAAAGACATCTTTATACCATCTAAAATCGCTTAGTTGAGGGCATCTTAGATTGCTTAGTTGATCATGTATTCTAGACTGGGTATGACTCGGTGTTCCTATGAAATGTTCAACTATCGTATAAAGGAGAGTATTGACACCATCTTCAATACCTCAGCCTATATTTTCATCAAACAGAGGAAGACCTTCTTCATTAAGTTTTATTGCATGGATAATATTATTTCGAGATTCATTAGTTAGATGCTTATCCCACCAAGAACGTAGGGTTCCTGTAAAACCTGTTTCTAGTAGAGGGATTATCTCAGATTGGCTTAAATTATGATTAGTAATATAGCTATTAGCTACCATAGACATGTGGGTTAACTTATTCATAATTTCTTGTTCAGACAAACCATCTATATTCCATTCATATAACTTATCAGAAGAAAAAGAAAATTGGCTCAAATTATTTCGTTCTTCAAATTGTATGTCAGGTGGTGTAGGCTTTGGATACCAATTTCTTGTTAAGCTAACAGGATTAGTTAATCGTTTTACCTTTAGCTCAGATTCTAGTTCTAGATTTTTGAATGCATTTTCAATTTTTGAAATATCGCTTGATTCTATAGACTCATTTGTATTTGACTCAGAATCGTATCCTGACTGGGTATCTAAAGGAAAGGAAGATCATATGACCTTAAGACCAGATTTTTCAGGTTTGGCAATGGTTAAGTGCTCAAGCATTTCTTCTATCTTTTTCATGGTAGAGGATGTCTTAAGTGAGAACTTGGGTTGTAAATTTTGGAACTGAATCAAGGGTTTATCTGTAGATTTAAGCCTCGATTCGGACGGTAAAGACTTATCAATTTTAGTTTCAATCTTATCTAACTGTTTCCCTATAGTAATTAGGCTTTGATTTATATAATTATTTTGTTCAACCAAACGTTTGTTAGGCTCATCTGCTTGGTCAGCAATCTTAAAAGGGCTTGCAACAACAGTTCTTGTTCCATGCTTAAAAACAATAGTTTCTGCAGGAGGGTGACTAGAAATGACTTCAGATTGATCTAACTTTACCCATTTTTCTTTAGTCAGGGTTTTTAACTTATTGGAAATGTAACGGCTTTCTACAAAATCAAGATAATAGATTTCTTTTTTCTCAGACCGCATATAATTTTTCCATTCATTAAATATTTCTTGTCTTATATTTCTATCAGGGATAATTTGGTGATATATATCTCTTCTAGATTTATTGTTAGGGTCATAAAGATGCTTATCTAGGGCTTTCCAATTAATTTTAAATGACTCAACTTTTTTAAGAACGCTTAATTGTTTATCTATGTCATATATGTGGGCTGCAGCTATTTCACTAGCTAAAAAATCAGTTTGGGTAGGTGAAGTAGGAGGAGATTCTGGTTTTGGCTCATTTGTGGGTGGAGCATTGTCATAGCAAGGATGACTAACTTGGGCCTTTTTTCGTAGAGATTCTAATTTTAGATCAATTAAGGCTCTTTCTATTTCTAAATCTCTCTCTTGAATAGAAGAAGATGTGGCAAATGAATGTCTGGCCGGCTCATGTCTTTTAGATGGGCTTGGTGTAGATAATTGTTGTAATTGAACTGTAGATTTAGGTTGGTTACCAAAATTAATCTTAACAGTGCCATCTAAATATTGTTGTATGTAATCTAAATTATTTAAACTATGCTGAATAGGAGCAGGTTGAGACTCAGTAACTAAAGTCCAATCTCTAGGTAAACTAATCTCAGACCACTTAACCGTATGAGGAATTCGTATATTAGCATCAGGTGTACAACTTTGTATCAATAATGTCTGAT